ATATTGATTTCTATAAAACCGTTGTTGGTATCAAATATAAATGAAATAATTTAAGACTCTCTCAATTCAATCTAATAGTATCTCTACTGCCTTTCGTAGTAAAAAGTATCAATGCGCTCTTAGAAAATCCATGTGATTTACCGCCTGGGAATCTGAAACCCAAGTTGTCTCTATATATATAAACAAATGAGCTTCTTCTATAATAGAATTTGAAGCACCTGATAAGGTTAAGATTAAATACTTTCTAACGGAAGTGGAGATCATGACCCAGTTAAGAGCGGTCTGATGTAACACGTTGCGTCAGTGTCTACGTCGAGAACCGAACCGAATGACCTCTAAGCGACCTCGTAGAAATACCTCTACCCTCTACGGAGAATACGGAGAAACTATTCTATAATAGCTCATATTTATTATAATACATAGTTAGTATTTCATTCCATCTGAGTAAATGATTTATTGCACACAAGTAAAGTAAGTTATCTAAACCACTGCTCCAGTTTTATAGCTGAAGGATTTGAAGATTTACAAAAATCCCTTTTCGGCTTAGTCATATAAAGATTATATCCTCCAAATGTCCGATCTCTAAAATCAAGAGCCTATGTGGTGATCTACCTCACATTCGTAGCTCCCTGTTTATATTTAACGTATTTTTCGCGTTTTGAACAGTATCTTATTTATAGGGGAACACTCGTATCGCATAAAGATAATACTCGAATATAATTATAAAAACGCTAACTAATATAAATTAGCTGCGATTAAAGCCTGTACTCTTGTGAAGTAATTGTATACTAAGCATTTGCATACGAGCATAAGTCTACAATATTGTAAGTAATAAGTGTAGTTCAAAGTAAACACTATTATAGCGAGAATGCATAAATACTAAACGTCCTTACTCCTATGATTAACGGTGAGGCAAGTCGGTCAAAGGCTAATTATGTTGACTGCAATTATCTTGCGTATCCCTTCAATAGACTACATTTTTATATAAATATGTATTTACGAACGGATTTTCTGTTTTGCGACATACATTACAAATAAAAATTACATAAATAATCTCTAACGTATTCGGGATTTATAGCTAAATATATAGTGGTACGAAATCGGTTATATAACATTCGAGAACACCGGTACATAGTAAGAAAATATAAAAGTGTAAATATACACAAAATGATATACTCTGTCACATTCAGAAAAACATTTGGCTATTAAAAATAAACGTCTATACTATATTTATAGACCATTATTTCTTGTTCAATCTGAAAACGGCATACATTCGCTGTAATCAAATATAACTTTCTAATAAACCAGGTCATACCATAGTAACATTCATTCAACTTCTGACCAAATCGCCTTATATAATAATTATACTAAAGTTATATGTTATCTCATTTATTACACAGAGTAGCGTGGCGATGTTTGAAGCGCTCTCTTGAATACGATATTTACGTAAGTAATTGTTGTTTGTAAGGGAAAATCCTAAATCCTATGGATGTTATTCAATCACGTGCTCCGAGTAATTAACACCGTACAAGTAGATCAACATAAAAATGTTACACAGAATGTATGTACATACATACATACATACATAGTCTGGTTATATTCATTCAAAAACCCTTACGATCATGCGAGCTCGTAGCTCAATAGCTCAAATAAGGCTTCATGCCATACGCCTAAAACGAAAGAATATGATAAGTTAAAGTCGAAAACTAAACCGTCGCCTTGATCCGTCGCTCCATTACACGGAGAGGAAGTATCGAGGTTATTGGAAAAACATATGTTAATGAAGTAATACTGTTTGAATCTGTGACAAGTGACAAGACCTTCGTCGCGAAGGCAAAGTCTACCAGGCAAAAACTTGTTCGGTGGCCGACAATTATCGCTGTAGACCTGTATTTCTTAATTATTGCATTCAATATAATATTGAGAAATGAAATAGGTACCTGTTTGAGTCACGCATTCAAATGAATAACCGACAGACTTTCAAACTAAATATAATAAAATTTAAAATGTGCACAAAAATATATACATAGGTATTTCACTTGCAAAAAAGAACAGCATTGCATACATAATATATTAGAAGACTCATAAAAACACACTATACATAAATAAAAAAGTTAACACTTTTTTTAACTCACGTTTAATATAATTTTATTATATAATATTATATAGTTATGAATTAATCTAACTTAATTAAAAATATAATATTAATAGATAACTATTTATTGGAGTCATTTCTATGAATGAAATATATACTAGTTTGTTGAGATCTTTCAAATGATTTTAAATTTTCTTAAATATTAACTATTATTTATTTCCATTGATTCCTAATTTGTAATCCCTCATACTGTTTTAAATTTTAAGGCAGGATGGTTTATATCGTATTTCTATTCATGTCGAAGTTAGTTAATCTATCATGAACAAATAATAGACAAAAATCTATACGGACTTGTTAGTACTATGGTAGCAATGTATTCAGAGCAATCCACGAATCGTGGATTTGACGGTTTCTTATAAATTTATAATCTTTCTTAATTGTGTGTTCGGAGTTCACCTGGAAACCTAGATAAATGAGTAATAAGAATGTCGAAAATTGAGCCCGGTCTGGATTTCCGAATTCGAAGCCAAAACAGGTGGACAGCGCATCGTGTTAGATATTATGTGGTTGGGGCATTTTATTATCCATTAAGTGAAAAAATACGATGACTTTTAAGAAAGACATACATGGATAATCACAGCTATGACGGATTATGCGTTTGATTTCTATAGAGTCCTCTATCTCCACCTGTTCTCACCTGACTCAGGCGATAAAAACTGCAGCTTTAGGTACAATTAAAGGCGGGCTGAGTTGCGAGATGAGCAAAGTTCATCTGCAGTGATATTAAACAATACGTGCTTCCTCCTTCCTCGTAAGTGGCGCTTGCGCAATAATCGATTTTCTCGCTAAATGCCAGCTTTACGTAAGTCCAGTGACGCACTCCGAGCGTTAGCATCCTTGTCATTCTTCTGGAACGTGGTGTTGCCATTCTTAACAATTAACAACACCGTCCACTATTGAATAGAGTCAAAAAATAAATTTAGCTAAATAATAGAGTTTTATGAAAATCCTTTGGTAATCGAGTACTCGATAAAAATTAGTAAAAGACGTGCAGGTAAATCTTATTTCTTATCCCACTAGATTGAGCAGGTTCGAATCCCGCCAGCGTATTTTCATATTTGCTTAAATCTTAAGTCTTGTCGCCTCTTCAATTCGATTACCTCAGACGAGGAAACAATTAAGTTTATTAATATGAATGGTATGTGCCTATCATTATAAAGATTGGAATTAGCATGAAAAAAATATTATTATTTTATGATGCTATGCTGTGAACAATGTGCACAGCATAGCATCTAACAGCTTTGTAATATGTGGAGCGATTCTCATATTACAATTGATACGTAAGATTCATCGCACACGGAAGGGTTATTGCTGCTCCGTATTACTTGGCCGACTTTGTTCCAGCGTTTGCCTAACTTTTTAAATTCGTCGCGTCTTTATCTGTTCCTCCTTTATGGCTATATACCAATTTGCCAAATCATACGCAAATGATAAATTGTTTGTGATCTCTATAGTTACATTAATGACATGTACTGCAAAATAGTCTTGTAAAACCGAGGTGTGATATGTACAATTGAAACAATGATTATCCCATTCCGAGGTTAAGGTCATGTCGAAGTCATTTTCATTGTTTTAGCGCCTGAGATTTTTCCATTCTGTTTTTGCAACCATTTTTGTTGTAATATGCTAATGCGATTGTAAACGTGTCTCGAAAACTTTACTTATATACATATGTTTAATGCTAAATAATGAATTTTATTAACACAGGATATCTTTTAATATTTTAAATGTAATGTGCATTTAAAAACGTTTAAAAGTAATGATGGTTTTTGTAGTGTATTACGTGTTTTAATTTTAAAGTATTAAAATGCACATTTTAATAATGATAATTTAAAAGTATTGTAAAATATTACATTATATTTGCAAATCCATTCTTATATATTATCACGAACGATACGTTTTTTGTGTCATTAATCAACAAATCAAATATTTATTTTTAATCTACTTAATTTTTAAAAACAATATTGCTTTATACTCTTAATATAAGTTTATTATTTAGATTGTAGCAAAGGATGACTTTTGCAATATGTTTACGTAGTTATAAATAGATCGTATGAATGCCCATACTGGTTTTGTAATGTCAGTGAATGCTACTTTTCCCACACCAACAGCGTATCGTAGAAGTTACATTACATTAGTAACTACTACTTAAAATATTGGCGTTGTGGGTTAAAGCTTTTGCCTTTTACTAATAGCGATGGAATGAGAGAGAGCATCTGAGTTAAAGAAATGATTATACCTGATTCAGTCCATTGAAAACTTCAGAACTTTACTTTTTTTAAACTAGAAGCTAAATTCCCTATCGCGAGCTGTATATTTTTGTTGACCTTAGCGCTTCCCTGAAACCCTGGCAGGTCAACGTTGATACGATCATCAATGATGACGTCCATCTTGTCACACCAAACGGCCTAGCACGACGTAATGCACTCCCCAAGGTCGCCAGCAAACGGGATGGTGTATGTCAATGAGCTCTGAGGCGTAGTTTATCGAAACGATTTCGCCACGCGACCGTGGGCGATATGTCAAAACTCGTACGTTGGGCGACTGTTTAATCTTCTCGCTGATATGATCGGAAGTGCTTTTGGTTGTCTAGTGATTTGTGAACATAACTGCAGATCACATGGTTTCGCGCAGAAACTCGTGTCTGTTAAAATGTAGTAATAGCAAATGGTTAAAGCCAATCCGTTCCGAAGCAGTGTGACCTAAGCTCTTAGACCCGCTTCCTTATAGTAGATGAAAAAGCTCCTAACTAAACTATTCTCACCTGCGTCTACTCAAATAGCGTATAAAATGTGTACGTTTATCGTTTGTGTTGACGTCTGCTAATTTGAAATGTGTTTTACAGAGAGACCTCGCCTCCGTCGCCGCTGGGCGACGAGAAGGAGTCGAAGATGAGCCAGATTCAATTCTCACCACCGATCGACAAACAAAACACACTGGTAATTTAATCCTCTAATACTCACACTTCATAAAACATGCATATGCACGGCCGATTGCACGCGCCTGACTATGTAAACAACGTAAGGATCAAATGACTTTTGGGATCAAGAAAAAGAGAAATAAACTTAAATCGTACCAAAACTACCATGCAGCCGACTAGGTTTTAATTATTTGACATAATCCATTTTTTTTTTCATAATATCAGATAAATCTTTCGTGTTTAAAGAGATTTTCGGAAGACTCACCTGTGTTTGTTGTTGCAGGCGTTACAGAAGCGGGCGGAGGCGGTATGCGTTCAGAATGCATACAAACACTACGGGTCCAATAAGCGACCGAACCATGTACTCAGCAAACTTAACATGACCGTCAAAAAAGGCACAATGTAAGTACAGACCGTGCATTTAAATAAACTAGAGTTAAGTAAGAAGGTCGTACTGGAAGTCTATGGGGGAGGCCTATGTCCAGCAGTGGACATTGAACGGCTGAATCGAGAGTTAAGTAATCATTTATCCGTCCTGTGACTTTTAATTTTGAGTTCCTTATCATTAATAATTCAATAAAGAAACGAAATCAACAATAGTGCTACGGCGTAGCAATATGCTACGAAGGAACAAATGATTGTCTACCATTGATTTTTAACTTAAATTGATGGTACGAATTTACATTACAGAATCTCTTAATTGCTTTACAACTGCGCGTTAAACTCTTTCGTGACGTACATATGTTACAGAAGAGTTCAACGCGTGCACCATTTTATGGAGTTAATTAATGTTTTTATAAAAATACGTGTTATAAATTTAATATGTAAGATAAAATATTAACTTGTACATTATATTAAAGTAATATACATTTTTGTGCAGTGGGTAAGATTAGAGAAAGACGCAAAAATTCAAAATTCCCGCAATATTTTAATAAATAATCCGAATAAGCGTTCCTTTAGTAACAAAGTATCTCAAAAATTAAAATGTCTATAGTTTTCGTGAGTAGTACAATTTTAAATAAAACACATATAATGGTTTCATGCGAAACATATATTATTTCAGTTAACTACAGCCCGCTAGCAGTTGCAAACACGGACTCCCGTAATATAATTGGCGTTTTAAATCATTAAAAATGTTTTGTTTTAAAGTTAAAATATTTGGTCTTTGTCCTAACTCATACAAGTCAACGAAGCACATTAACTGGCAACACTACCACATTCCTGGCATTACTGTAATTTGTTTTCCATGTAAATACAATACGCTACGGATATATATACGATGTTAAAGCTAAAGTGAGGGAATGTGGCCAAGCGATTTCTATTCGGTTCCTGCTAAAGCATAGATAGTGCGAATATTAATGTGCTTAGATCGTTTAAGTAAATGAATAAAGTGTAATTATTGTATAACTCTTATAATAACGAATAACTTTCTAACAACGCTCAGTGTTAAAATACAAAATAAGTAAGTAGATATCATCTGACCAGATTGGATTGAATGTTCCTTCTAGACTTCAAACGGCATAACAAGTTACAAACTAGGTACCTACTTACTTCTAAAAACATGACTCAAAGACCGTATACACAAAGACGTAAGTCTAGAGCCCGTCCATTGATTCACTGATCCCCTAGAAGGAGTCTGGCAGAGAGCCAAGGGCACGCTTCTAACAAACGAACATTAACCTCTACTAACGATTAAATTTATCGGACAATTGTAAACAAATAAGGATCGATGGTAACTTTGACCCTTGTTGCGTAGGTAATACGTGTTATTTGTTTCCTAGTTAGAACAATGGTTACTGTGACGTGGGACATCGTATGATTCCGCTTTATATGAAAGGGACAGCTGTTTTATATTAAGTATAAAATGCACCCTCAACAAACAGAACGTTTGTTGAGAACATTCAAACATTTTAAATGCGATCCAGGTCCTGAAGCATTTCTGTAAGTCTGTATTTTTATCAGAGCATGACTAAGCTATAGACATCACTTAAAATACGCGATAAAGTTGACGATTCAGTTTTTCCCCCTCGGTACCACTTCCACCGCGATGACGATTAAATCGCCATTTTAAACAATTTTTTTAATTAAATTTTCGTACATACTTTTAGTAATTTCTCATCTTATTATGTATCTATCTAAAAGGATCTGAATTAGACGGTAATACGGTCACACTAGATAAAACCTGAATTTATTTATGTTTTCTTTATTTATTTCTTCACTTTGCTACATCAAAAATCTCTTCGGATTACCCTCTAACAGGTCACAATTCGCTGGGGTGCCTGTTATCGCCTTGGCGTGCAAATTTCTATTCTCGTTCCGCTACGCAGGATGTTTCGATAGCGTTTCGTATTTAATATAATAACTTGAATCACCTTGGATGTGCGTCGACATATTAACCAGGAAATATAGGTACAAGAAGAAAAAGTGACGGGCGGCAATTCAAAATTAAACATTATTTTAATGTCGTTTCGCATTCGATAAGAATAGCAATACAAACAAGGAAATAATATAAAATATATTTAAAAGACTTTCAAGATATCAAGAAAAAAAAATTGTTTGTTCAAATTGAAAAAAGAGAAAAGGTTCTCGACGTTTCGCCATCACGAGCGGGGGCATTCTTCTTTTCGCTCACGTCGGCCGTACAGCCCGAAAAACAATGATATACTGAATTATGGCCGTGAAAGCCTTACATAATTTATTACGTATTTGTCTGTCTTTATGTAAACGCAAGTATCCATACAAACTCCATAGGCAATACGTTGTTTTAAAATAAATTTCAATTGAAAAAAGTTGGCTTAAACTTACAACGTAAAGCCGAGTTTGTAACCACTATTTAATGACAACTTAAAATAACAACGAAGACCCAGTAGTAAAATATAATGTGGCATAAGTGCACTATTATTACAGCCAATAATGGCAAGATTTTTGGCTGCGCTTCACCTTCAGGTTAATCTTTCCTCATCTTCGCACAATAAGAAGGCCGCAGAGAAACTAAGTTCTTACGTATTGCAGTCATTTTTATGTTCTCATACTATTATTATCCCTAGGTACTTAGTAGATAACTAATAAAATCCAGCGACGTCAGTAATAAAATGATAATTCCAGATATGGTCTACTCGGCGCGTCAGGCTGTGGAAAAACGACTCTGCTCTCCTGTATAGTGGGAAGACGAAAACTGAACAGCGGAGATATATGGGTACTGGGGGGGAAACCAGGGACGAAAGGTATGACAACCGTATTCCTATGTTGGTGCTACGTTAACTTAACTTTTACCTGCTTAGTTAGTTCTTAGCTAGTCCAATGCTTTAGTCTTTGGTTGCACAGTTGAACCTATGAATTTGTTGTCTCTTTTTCTTTTAACAGCTACGTTAAAAGCCTCCCCCTGGTCGTCTTTGCGTGACCCTTTGACCCGACATCTCATTGATATCTCAAGCTATGTATACATTTAAAAAGTTAAAAATTGTATTCCTTATGTCCTCCAGGCTCTGGAGTGCCAGGCAAAAGAGTGGGATACATGCCACAGGAAATAGCTCTGTATGGAGAGTTTACTATCAAGGAGACGATGATGTACTTCGGCTGGATCTTCGGCATGGAGACCAGGGAGATCATAGACCGGCTTCGGTTTCTCTTGGACTTCTTGGATTTGCCCAGTGAGAACAGGATGGTCAAGAATTTGAGGTTAGTTTTTTTAAGTTTTTGTCGCTAAAAGCCTTGAAGTTGAAAGTGGAAGTGATAAAATATAAAGTTATACGAATACTATTGTTGAAATACAAAAATCAACTGAAAAATATCAGTAAGTATTGTCTGTAGTTTACGCGAGTTGTAAACAATAAAATGAAACACTTTTAACAATTCGAAACGCGAAATATATTAGCTAACTTATTTACGATTTATTTAAACTACGGTCCATAAGTTAACTAATACATTTCGCCTTTTAAAACGTTAAAAGTGCTTTATTTAAAAAATTGGAATACTCATTATAAAAATCGTCATATTTTGGCATAAGATATATCAATAGATTTTTAAATAATAGTGGATGTCCCCTAATAAGGGGACATCCACTTTAGTTTATCGCTTGGCCAGCTTAGTAGATTAAATCTCGTGTTATGCCTAAATTGGCTAGAAAATGTCAAAAGCGATTATTATGAGTCATGTGCTAAACATATATAAAGTGAGGTTACTTGTGTGAAGACACATTTAGCGTCAATAAGGAAGTTGACTTCACGCGATACATATACAGCACGTTGCGTGAATATAAAATACATTTATAAAATTACTTTTCCTAGTTTTCCGCAGGCGACCCTCATCTTTCTGGCAGAGGAACGAGTTTGTCGCAAAAATAAGTTTACACGTTTTAATTTTAACAAGTTATTTTTTACTCTAACATCAAAGTATTTCATTTAATTTTTATATGAATTCTCTCAAGGTCTTTCAAATTAAGTATATATGAGTAATACAATAAGTAGTCATTATAAGGATTCATCGATATGAATGTTACATGGAATGCTAAAAAAATATACTTACTAAGATAAAGATAGTCCACGGCCTCCGCGGCTCATCTTAATCCAATGACTGTCCTCGTCTGAGACAGAGACGATTTTCCATATCGTTTTGTGTTTAATCTTTTAATTATTATTAATAACAACGGCTACTTTTGTTATACCTAAATAACGCACATTTGTTTAAAACTATTTATTTATTTTAGGAACAGCCTTACACGGCTGAAGTTTTACATTAAGAGTTAGTAAAAATTTAATTAACTAATTCATTTATTTAAAAATGCACTACCTGCGTTAATTACAGGCAATACTAGTTTCATATATATATATATATTATACCTATCTTTTATTCTTTAAAACGCTATTTAACGACACACTTAAAATAATTTGCTTATGTATAGTTGAGTTTATTGCTAATGTCTTTTGTAAAAACTCGAAATTACTCGAATTTACTATATTCGACGTATTCGACGTCGTTTTGTTTAGTTACAAAGTTGGAAGTAAGTTTATTAATGCCACCTATTCGATGCATAGAACTTTTACAAAATATGCGTAGTATTACGATCCAATAAATAAACGGTGATAAGCAGTTGAGCCAATAGAATACCAAATGGTGTATGCTATGCCAAGACATGCGTTTGTGAATTACGAACTGCGAACCGTCTATCGTTCTACGACACTAAACTATGAACATTGCTGTTTTAAACATACAATAACGCGAAAAGTAATACAGTTATAATGCAAACAGTAACGACACATTGTTCGGAGGCGTAACAAATGGGAATGTTACGCCAATTGTGAGCTAACTGGCGTGACACAGTGTGACACACTAATTCGTGACAGCGATACACTGGCGTTAAGTATTGTTTGTTAAACGGGCATTACCTCTGCTTTGGTTAATAATTGCTAACCACTGGAACGAAAACAATTCATATACACTAAGTACACAGTTTAAGATTTCGTAGGATATTTTTTTTAATTAAGAGTATAGTGCCTTAAAAAACTACAACAAAAACATTAAACCTCGTTGAATTATACTTGTCTTGCTTTTTAAAATTTGGCCTTCATCGCTGATAAAGCTCATTAATAAAATGAATAAAACAAAACTAGTTTTCGGTTAAATATCTCACAAACGCTTCCTACTCGAAAAGTTGATTTTTGAAAGGCGTAAATATAAATATGTATTATAAACATGTGTAATACAATTTAAAAAAGCCGTCCAAACTCTTATTACAATAATATATTGCAAAACTAACTTCTACTTCATGCAGATAAAGATATTAACTTGTACAAAATGTATTTTCCAACATTCACATCTCTCGCAAGCGTTCATTTAAATGTGATTATATTATATGCAATTGCTTTTGCCAACATTGTATTGCATGTATGAGGAAAAAATTAAATCCGTTTATGACGGAGAGCAATTAAGCAAAGAACAATAATTCGTTAAATTAACGACCTTTTGCAATCCCATACTGAGATTAGAGGTTGGCTATTCGCACGTTCTGCTTAAATTTAAGCTTCGTTTGTTTAAACAAGCTTACAACATCATCTAGAGTTAGTATTAGCCCATTAAATGTTCTCTATCTCTCAAGTACTCGACATCATCTCTTCACATATGTCTGTTTTTATTAAATAAAATTATACTGACTATAGTTCTAACATTGAATTTGAAATCCCATTCTTTTATATTTTTATACAATCAATCTATAAACCACATTAACTACCTAAAACTCTTCAAAAACCACACGAAACACGTGGTTTTTTTTGTAATTGTGTTTCGAAATAAATGAGAAAAACAGGAAAATTAAAATAGTTTTACATTTTTTCAACCAATTACGTTTTATGTGTTTCCGCCACAAACCTTCATTATGATGCGTGTATAAACAGCATCTTTAGTACGACGAATTAATTGTACAGGATATATAAAAGCCTAAAACATATAATTATTTGCACTTGCAAATAGATGAACGGCCAAATTTTAAAAATCTAACCGAGTGTGAGTCGGGCTCGTATACGAAGGTATATTTGATTGATTACTGTTTGTTATTAAAATTTTGACTAATCAGCTTCTTGACACACAGCCTGCTTACAAAAAGATAGACAGACTAACAGGGAAGTCTTAGTTATAGAGTGACCGTTCTTATTTACAGATTATATACAGTTTTCGCGTTTAAAGGAACAAGTGACTTGGTAATGTCTTTTTTAAATATAAAAGTACCATATGTTTGTCCTTTAGAATGTGTACATTTTCTTGGATGTAAGTTTCGGTTAATTTTTAAACAAAAACATTCGACTTGTTTCGAATTAAAGCCTAAAGAATGAAAGTCACTTTAATTTTTAACATTCCACTAGTCATCGTACATATTATCGAATACGTAAATTTTTGTGCTGACTAACCTCGCGTCGCTCTTCCGAAGTCTCGAGAATACTTTCGAGTTCTGATTGCACCTAATTATGTTCCGATATAAATGATAATACGAGGATGTAAGAGTGACGCAAGTGTTGAGTAACACCTGCTGCTTTCATATTATGCAGAGCGAGAGATCTCTCTACGTCAGATATTAACGCACCGGTGTAAGGGGCAATATTTTGAACAGCCAAGATATTTATAGGTCGACAAGAAAAGACTAGGGGCTGCAAAATATGTTCCATTAAAAATCTCAGTGTGTTTTTTTTAAAAAAAAATAAAGCAATTATTTTCTTATAAAAAAAAATGTTTTCCTTTAAATTGAAATGTAAAGAAATCTCTGTTTTGTAGGCCTGCCTTATTCTAGAAGCTTCGGGGAGGTTGACCCGATTGCTCTACCTCATATCCTGGCCAGTGCCAGTGACAGTATTTTTTGTAGATTACAATATTACCAGTGAAATATTGTACTCTACAAAAAAGTTAACTGCTAATAAGTAGTTGTAGCTCAAAATCAAAGAATTTAATACATTTCGAGTTTTCCTTTATCTGTAACCAGCTGTGCCAGCGACTTCGTCCGCGAGAATCATTATGTTGGGCATCCAAATTAGTTTTCAAACCCCGTTATCTTTATAAACTTAAGCTGTTAGCCACGACGTCGATCGCGTCCCTTCCAGTCGTTCTTGCAAGTTAACCTTAAAAGATAGATGATTTGAAGAGAAATCATTCTTTCATACACATTTTTAGGTATCTTGAACCGTTTTCGCAGCGTACGCATCTGAAACCCACGGAGATGAAAAATTTTCCCCGTTTTGTTCACATTTCCAGTTGTATCATTGCTTCTATCGGTCACATTTTTATAGCCTTCCTCGATAAATGCTCTCACCAACACAAAAATATTTTTTCCATTCGAACCAGTAGTTCCTGAGATTAGCGCGTTCAAACAAACAAATAAACTCGTCAACTTTATATATTAGTATAGATATAGATACTAGCTTACTCTTTTAATAGTAATAAGTATATACAATGAAATCAACAGTGGCGGTCAACAGCGAAGAGTGTCATTTGCGGTGGCGCTGATGCACGACCCTGAGCTTTTGATCTTAGACGAGCCAACCGTGGGCGTGGACCCACTGCTGCGTCAGTCCATCTGGACCCACTTGGTGCGGATCACCAGTTCCGGTGATAAGACTGTCATCATCACCACGCATTATATTGAGGAGGCGAGGCAGGCTCATTGTGTAAGTAGAGTAACTTTACGTAGTGAATTAATATCAAAACGCCGATATTGGAATATAAATAATAGAATTAAGTTAATAGCAACAAACAATTTTTTTCCACAGACTATTGTAGTGATATTTTGAAATACACGCTACATAATATTAATTGCACATCGTCAGTTGTCATGGGAAAAAATTATATATTTTTCTCGTAGCTCATTGTGAGTTCCACTATCATCTTAGTTCAGTTATAAATCAGCGATCTTTCAAAGTTGTATAAATAAAACCGGCAATTCGGACTTGCGCAAGTGGGTTCTGTACTATTAAGTAGGTAAACAAACTTTACTCTCTTACTGCTATTCAATACCATCAAACAGAAACAGGCAAAAAAGGCACGCCTCCTTTTAATACCTATCATTTTGCTATAGTGACAACCGAAATACACAAATTGCAACCTATTTAAATAGAAAAAAAATACGACTCAGGCAGGACTCGAACCGGCATCTAAAACCTTCCGTGTGACTGCTCTAACCAATAGAGTTACGGTGCCGTGTTCGTAATTTTTTGCCAACGTAAATAGATTTTTAATTCCATCATGTTGTCCAACAGAAGTACACAATTTTAATATTTTTCTGTGCTTGTTAGATATATTATATATTACAATATGCCGATATCTATATTATGTAACTAAGAACAAATCATTTGTACAAAAGGGAATCCGCTAGGGGAAGATAGTTAGTAAGTGAAACAACTGAACCGCTTACGTCTAATGTGTGTTGTGTAATAAAGATACCGATTATGTTTAACTCGTCGTTTCTCCTAAAAAAGGCGAAAAAATAGGTGTACAACAAGTTTGGGGACGAGTTATTACCGAAGGCTGTCAATATAAGGTTCTATGAAGGAATGCGGTCTTCGGTCACCGCGGCCGAAGGTCAGCTCCGGTATTATTGTCACGTTTGCGATCGCCCCTCACGTTTCTCCGTCTTCCATCTTCTTAGCTTATCGCGATGTGTGTGGCTTTCGCATTCAATCTTTAACGAAGTAATAGATAATATAAAATTAAAAATAGATTATTCATTTTTAATTTTAAATAAGTAATCAATTGAGAAAAACCCTACATAGTCCGTTTTGCAGATTTGGTTGATAGAAATAAACTAATAAATTTATTATGTATTATATATGAATCAAGATAAGCTCGATAAACGTAAAGCGTTGTAGTAACACTTAGAAAAATAATTAAACAATCAATAATTTATCTATAATAATAAATTACCGCGTGTTACCATCCGCATTAATTCGTTTTCACATAAAAAGCGCAAGATGTCCAAGTTAACGAATCCCTTGTTTAATCGAGTGATTTGAAATTTAAATTGATAATCGTCACTAAGAGCGGCGATAACCGACAGTTTTAGGATAATGGATTGTTATTTTAAACGGGTTTCAGTGTGAGAAGCTCAAGTGGCATTTACATGTTTGAACTTCCTACATATTTATTTATCAATTATTAGATAATTATAACCATTCCGAAGGACGTGACACGCTGTCACAGAATGCTGTAGACTAATTGTTATCTATTTTTATTGACTGTAGAGGAAAAGTAATTATTTGGTTCTAATAATGCAACAGCACAAAACATTATCTATTGCTTTTCTAAATGTCGACTATTTTATTGTTTTCTAATTAAAAAAACCGAATCAATAACAGATTTACTCAAAAATGGGGAATCTGGACCCCATTTTCGATAGGTCTAGCGCGTTATAAGTCAACGTCGTATCTTTTTCTAATATTCTACGTGTAATTTCAGATCGGTCTGATGCGCAGCGGCCGCTTACTGGCGGAGGATCCTCCACAGGCGTTGCTCAGGATGTACAATTGCATTTCTTTAGAAGACGTCTTCCTCAAACTGTCCAGGAAGCAAGGTGAGAGCATGTTTAAAAGACAAATATTGTTGTTTAGTTCTGTTTCAACGACGCTTTTTTCGACGTTTTATAACCTCACATGAAGTACAGATAATTTAATCACTAAATAAGCGCTATTTATTCTATTATTTTTCATTTATTTAAACTACCTTACCTCCAAACGTCCGCCCATTGTTCAAACTTAAAAAACTTAAACTATGACGCTAAAACTGTTAAGTTTTATTTAAATTACCCTCCTACGACTCCTACCAAAGTAATATGTGAGTGTATGAGTACCGCAAACTATATTTTAAGAATTAATTTGTGAATTTTGTCGTAGTGAAAAGAAAAGGCTTGCAATATTCTTTGTACGATGTGTGTTTGTGTCGTAACTCGATCTAACATGTGTTTGTACCATGTGTATCTTTCACTTTCCTATGTCATAGGTCGACTTATAACTCCCAAGACAGCAAGCGACGCGGTCCGAACGTTCGCCACTGAGTACTTGAATCGTACAAGTTACGAATGCGATATTATATTTCGCGGTTACTACGTAGTTAACAAGTGTATGTTAATATCGTGTCATATATCAATATTTATTTTTTACATTAGCCAGCGCTTGCGCAACGTGTAAATTAAGTTTTTCTTTAATCAAGCAAGATCCAATCTCTAAATTGTACCATTTATCTTCTAAAATGTAGGAAGGAATAAAATAGTTCGACGGGTTCATCGATGTAATGGCTATAATCAACGGGCTTTGGGTTCGATTCCCACCGGGTACCGAACATATTTCTAATATATAATTTTTGTGAAATTCGTCGTTATGTTATGTCAGGATATCCCGCCATCCACGCTATCCATGTCTGTCCGTTGTCTGTCTCCTCTATCATAAAAAATGTAATATTTTTTTCTTGAAGTGATGTATTAATTAAACTAATATCTTTTGCGTATGATCACAATTGCGAATACTAGACTTCGCTTTAAAATGAATAAGTATTTTTCTCATAAAATACGTATCGTTCTATGAATGTTTCTGTACAAAGTAATGACAAATCGTTAAGCTAAGTCACATCCGTAAATGATACATCCTAACATAATATTAGTATAAAATAAAGTTTTCCGCCGTCTCGTCTCGTCGATTTTAAACAAATAGGAAGGAGACTAGAGGACACACTTCTAGTTATTATAAATATTGAAATGAGGCACAGGTGCTTGTATGAATGGAAATAAGAAATTAATCGAATACCACAGCATTCGTCGTGGATTCGACTCTTAACTCTGTCAATAAATTAAAAAACAAATGCTAGCGATTCTTAAATGCACCTTTTCACTGCGAGACGTCAATCTAAATAAATTATATTCATTACATTTATCGTTGCATTCAATTAAAAGAGACAAAGACGTTTAATTGGCACGTTCCAAGGTCGTTCGGTCACATTCTATTCGATCAAAATGTCCGAGTGTAGGAAAGTATTACATTTAAATATTCTTTATAACAATTATTTGCCTTAACCATCATATCCTTTACTTCGCCATCGACAGCCTCGTCTAGTCGTTGGAGGGCCAGAATGTCTACTCATTCTGGAAAATTTCCACATTTCCAGCAATAATTAAAAATTTCAAGCGCTTATTTTTCACAGACTTCATAAATATCTATTACTTACAAAGTGCTGTCATTCTATTTCTTTACACAATACGGGTAATTCTCCGTAACCGGCTAGGTTAGGCTAGGTACACAGACGCGGTCATTAAGTTTTTCCGTGTCTCCTCGCGTTCAAGAAAAATCATAATTTCCTCACTCTGACACAGAAGACCTCGCCGAGGTTGCACGCGATCATTAACAATCGCTAGTCATTGTAGCCTGGCACTAGCTTTTATCCAGAGTTCGCCTGCAATATAATATATTAATTAGGATGGGCTGCAAATTAAAAAAGAAACACAACTTTAATTAAAACACTTGTAACGATTTGAATTGCGAAATATATTAGTTAACTTCGGATGCTTTCGAAAGCCTCCGTGACCAAACTACTACAAAACGTCAGACTATAGTTATTATAATAAAACTAAGTTCGCGTTGTATACCGTTAAAAGTATTTTTTTGGAGGGGTTACACCCTCCCTTCCCCCCCCCCCAACCCCCGGAAAAAAAAAAAACCAAAAAAAAAAAAAAAAAAAAAAAAAAAAAAAAAAAAAAAAACCCCCCCAAACAAACCCCCCCCCCCCCCCAAAAAAAAATAACCCCAATAATACCAAAGTATATTACCCGTATTGTTATTTAGTTTATCAGAATGATTTTCTTCCAAAACATTCTTTTATTCGTGCTTCGCTTTTTCAGGTCAAGGCAACCAAGTGCCAGAAATAACAGTGTCCGGCGGAGGCCTAGGGCTCAACAAGATGTCGAAACGGGAAGAGGCGCCGTACGCGAATGAAGACGCCCAAGTCATCGGGCTCAACTTCCATCAGAGCAAGGAGATTCTCATCGTGGATAACGGTGTGGGGTCCAATGGAGATGTGAGTATACGTTTCTTATCAATTGCGAACCCTTTCAAAAATACTTTACTAAAAACTTTAAAAAAATGGAGTTTGTAATACATAAATAGAAATGAAATTTAAATATCATGTTGATACTTTAACTTTAAAACGCGATATAGTTAAACTTACTTGAAAATTATTTTTAACTTCGGCCCGACGTTTCGGATGCTTTGCAGCAGCCGTGGTCACGCGTTTTAAACCGTTAATTTGTTTTATTTAAATGTGTACTACTCGCGTAAACTATAGACAGTATTTATCATGTTTGATGTCAGAACTAAATATTGTTTTTTTTTGGTTTCCAGCTTCCAGGGAAAATATCTGAAGCCGCGTCAGACTGCACTGACTGCGCGGGACGATTTAGCGTAAGTATTTCTTAGCTTCCGTTAAGTTCAGTTATAACATTCAAATCGAACACTTTAAACGATTTAAAACGCGTAAAACATGAAGTTACTTATGCAGCAGCCGCGCTCACACGTGGCTTTAGTTATATGCGTTAAGCTATTCGCGTAAACTTTACAACAATACATTCTGTGATTTTACCTGCAAAAGCACAGAATTATGTTAACTCAAGGAGTTGAGTTTAACTTTGACAAAATATTATTTTAAAATAGTATAGGTCGTTCTATGCAGTATTAATATTTATCTATGCCCAGTTTACATCTCGAGGCAAGATCAAGGCGCTGATACAAAAGAACTTCCTGCGGATGTGGAGAAATATCGGAGTGATGCTGTTCATCTTTGCGCTGCCCGTGATGCAGGTCATCCTCTTCTGCCTGGCCATCGGCAGAGACCCCAGCGGACTTAAACTGGTAAGATATTCAAGTTAGTCTTCGAAATTAAAGTTACATCCTCCATGTTTTCTTATGACAGAGGTGGACCGACAAGCATTGGGATCGCTCGATGAGAGGTGAATTACCGCAGCCATATAACATCTATAATAATAATAATAATCAACAAACCGAGGAATCAATTCCCATCAGTTCTATGTTTCCGTCATCTGGAAAAATCTGGATCTAAAATGGGTGGTGGGGAATCACCACGCGTGTCAGGTTCAGCAGTTAACATTGTAGTTTTACGTTATGAACTCGAATGTCTTCGCAGGCGATAGTGAACCACGACGTGAATGTCTTCGACGGATATTGCCCCTACAACGCGTCTTGCTCTATGAAGAACCTGTCTTGTCGATACCTGGATAACTTGAAGAACGGCTCCATCATCAAGAACTATTACGCCGATCTGGAGGATGCGAAACACGCGGTGCGGGAGGGGGACGCCTGGGGGGTCATTTACTTTAACGAGAATTACACGGATTCCCTCGTGGCTCGGTTGGCCCTCGGTGAGTTCTTTTGTTGTACATTTTGGTAAAGAAGTTTTACGCAAATTAATTTTAAATTATACCAGCGTTACATTGAAAGGCCCTCCACGAGGTATACGTCTAATCTTCTCCACCGTTTCTTTTCCAGGCGACACGGCTGACAACGAGACAATAATGTCCTCGGAAATAGAAGTGTGGCTCGACATGTCCAACCAGCAGATCGGGCTCATGCTCAGTCGAGACATCCAGTTCTCGTATCGGGACTTTGCCAAGGTACAGTCTTGACTTTTCACAATTGAATGTTACGGTAACCACTACCTCCTAATCCCTACTTAATTTGAACATAGATTCAGCATTATCTATACATATGTAATATACGAAAGTATACAAATTCCAATAAATCACTTTCAACGGTTTAAAACGGTTGCTGCTGCTGCTTAAAAGTTTTCTTTAGAAAAAATTGATTTGAAAGTACGTACGTACGAAATAGATATGAAAAATAAGATTTCTTCATCAGGGCCTCCTATCGACGTGCAACTACAATCCGAAAGTGGGCGACATCCCCATAGATTTCAAGGACCCCATCTACGGAGATACAAATCCTTCCTTCACTGACTTCGTCGCGCCTGGTGTTATTCTTACGTAAGTAGAAAATACATATGGGCCTACCCGGGGGAAAGGATGTCATCGAAGATAGGTTATGCTCTGTATGCTCGTCGTATGTACATATATATTAATGAGAGAACTTATGTTGGTGGAGCTTTTGGAGTGAGTTACTGGGTTAGGCGATAGGCAGTTTAAAACTTGATTCCTAAGTTGACCTGAGCGCTAATCTTTAGATATATGGTAAAATTTAATAATTATATTATCTATCCCCCAGGATTGTATTCTTCTTGGCCGTGGCGTTGACCTCGTCAGCTCTGATCGTGGAGAGGACGGAAGGTCTGTTGGATCGGTCGTGGGTGGCCGGGGTGTCTCCCGGGGAGATCCTGTTCTCGCACGTGGTCACCCAGTTCGTGGTGATGTGCGGGCAGACGGCGCTGGTGCTCATCTTTATGATCCTCGTGTTCGGAGTCAAGTGTAACGGAAACATAGCGTTCGTCGTCATGTTGACGCTGTTGCAAGGTCTGTCGGTTTAATTTTTGTACTGGACATAGATGACTTGATAAAGTCCTAGTAAAGTTTAAACTCGTTCAAGTGAGCACATAAATTTAATGACATCTATTATTATTCACAATTATAAATACACTTTTTGGGGCACAATTTTATTACTTATTCTATGAATCGCGAGTATATAGTTCTATACCGTTGTCCTATAATTTTTCCAGGTCTGTGCGGTATGTGCTTCGGTTTCGTGATTTCGGCGGCCTGCGAGCTCGAAAGGAACGCGATCCAGCTCGCCCTCGGCTCCTTTTACCCCACTCTCCTCCTCAGTGGAGTCATCTGGCCCATCGAGGGCATGCCCTGGATCCTCCGATACGTGTCCCTCTGTCTACCGTTGACTCTCGCGACGTCCTCCCTTCGGTCCATCTTGACCCGGGGCTGGCCCATAACTGACCCCGACGTGTACATGGGTTTCGTTTCCACTATATCGTGGATATCTCTCTTCTTAGTTCTCACTCTAACCATATTGAGGTTCAAACGGGGTTAAGTTAATATTTTGTATTTATTAATGTTGGTGTGTAAAAATCTAATAGACTATCTATAATGTCTTTAGATCTATAGATGTCTATTAGAATCTAATAGTGGAAACTACTCGAGGGTAGTTCGATAACGGCATTACGTGTCAGGATTCAAATCGTATTAAAAATATTCGCGTTTTTACATATCAACATGAATTATTTATTATTTCGGGCTCTGCATGCAATATTACGTTGCATTCGGCAGCCCCACAATATTCTACTGCATCGTGTAGAGGTGAAATATTGCTCAAACAGCTACGTATAGCGTGTGAAATTCTCAAAGAATCGACAATTTATAAGAAATATCCTAATGTACCGGTTGCTTTCTTTACTGACTTCGAATATAGTAATTCTCCCGCTTTCCAAATACCCGCAATAAATAAATTCGAATAGATCGTAATTGGTTTCACACCGCCTGGATTATATTGATGGCATTTGGTTATAATCTGTGGAGATCCCGCCAACTTAAGCCAGGCCCTAGAGTAAATTGACAGTTAGTCAACGTGTAAATAGTAGAATATTCGTAGTGATACTTGTAAGGTTTAGGGATGTTAGCAATTATGATTGGTCAACGCTTTTCTTAGGGTATTCACTTCTTTAAATCTTCGGTAGAGGACTACGTTTACCGTCTATGACGCGAAGTTACCATAGATTCAGATGGTGCCATAGTGGTGAATTTTTATCGAACTTTACGACAAAATTTTTATGTAATCGCCGATTATAATCTAAAATTTTGACATCAACGCGCCATCGACGATCTAATTATGTTCCATAGATTACGATAATATAGACCGACGTTTGTCACAGATAAGGTTATCTACAATGTACAGTAAGCGAAATAGTTTAAGTATTTTATAGAAATAAGGTTGTATTTAGATAATGGCAATAAATATTATCTAATTGGTTAATTTGAGTTGCCAGTTGTTTTGATAAATTTTGTATTTTTTTAATGAAATATGATCAAATCCGGTTAAATCAGAGCAGGTAAAACTTGAATATAATTCAATAGAAGCTAGATTAGGATAGAAGTGTCAGACTGTGATTATTTTTGCTAACATTGACATTTTTGTAATGACAATTATACAATAATACTGTACCAAATATGATGTTTGTTTTGTTCCTAATTTCATCTGCCCTTCATGCAACGGTCTTAGTATTAAGAAACTGCATCAAAGTTGAAAACATAATGCAAATAATTTTTAACAAGTATATTCATGTTTTTGGCTACTTTAACTTTCACAAAGTGTAGCACAGTAACAAGAAAATTGTTTCAGCTGGACTTAAAAAAATCACAAATATTTTCAATTAGGTTATACTATTTTGACAAAATTTCACTCAAGACCCTCTTCTTCTTTTGTCCTTTGTTGAATGTATGTTTCTGTAAAGAAAATTTGTTTTAAAAACTTAATTTCCTTTGTGTCAAAAACATTACTTTCAAAAAGAGATATTTTCCTTATGGTAAAGTATTAATGTGACCAATAAACAAAATAGGACATTGCCCAAAAACAAAATAAATACCTTTTTCTTTTCAGCCGTTCTACCTACAAACTCTTTCCTCTGTTTTTTGGGCTGTTTATTCGCTGGTCCTTCAACTTCATCCTAAAATATAACATAGTACAAGAAATAAAACATGCCCCAGAGCATGGATGTTCTCAAAATGGCAAGTTCGTCGCTAGATGTCAGTGTGAACAGAAATGAATGCGTGCATATTTTAAAAAAGATGTACATTCTTACAGTAATATAGCTACATGTCATACATACATTTACATCTGCCATAAAATTGCATATTTATTCATGAATTTCACTCTAAGGTTTCATAAAAATTGGACTAAAATATTTTAAAGCAGTGCTATAAACGCAAGAGAAAAGATTCATACCATATTTTTCCTCTTATTAGCTATTCTTCTATATGCTCCGTCCGTGCCCTGATTATTAGAATTAAACTTTCCACCAAAGCGGCTATTATTCCCATCTCTGTTATTTCCAAAATTTCTATTGTTTCCAAAGTCCCTCTTATTTCCGAAATTTCTGTTATTACCAAAGTCTCTTTTATTTCCAAACGGTCTGTTGTTTTTGTCATTTCCATATCTGCCAGCAACTTTTTTATTATTAGCTGCACCACCTTTTCTGTTGCCATTTTGGTTACAACGACTCACTCTGAGTACCCTATTCCCTATGGTAAGATCCTCTTCAGATAGGGCCAATGCTAACTCGACTGCATCTTTTGATTTGAAATTTACATAACCAAACCCTGAAATTTTCATTTATGATATATAGACATCCACATATTTATATCCTGATGTCAAATTTAATAGGATACAGAATTGTACCTTGCCTACAGAAAAAAATCAGGATACCACGTGATCAGCACACTATACAAACCTTTTCCAACATTTGTTTTCTCATCCCTTATTAATCGTACGGACTCAATTTCTCCGCACTTCTCAAATTTGGACCTTAATGTTTCATCTTCCAATGAGAATGGGACATTACCAATAAATACAGAACACTTATTGTCCACGGCCCCGGTGACATCACTACGAGTGACTCTTAGATGATATCCATTGAGAACTTTGTTGTTTGCAGCTAAAGCCTAAAATAGGAAAAGAATTGAGAAATAACAGAAAAAGCAAATGTTTCTTTTTTCTTTCTTGTCCTGATGGAAACTTATTTTATTATATTTCAAATATTAACAAGGATTTATACATTTTTTGTATTTGTTATCTAAGACTTTTACATCCTTTAAAAAAAGAAACATGATGGTGTACCTTTTCAACAGAATCTGCTTTCCGGAATTTTACATAAACATTGACAGTACTTCTCTCCGGGTGGAGTTCATTTTTTATGATTGCTAGTTTTGGTGTTATGGATGGATTTTTAACAGGTATAGCTCGAATTCTGTAATTGAAATTTCATTATTCGTAAATGACAACAGCAGGCTGCAATTTAAATCTATTGCCTAAAAGTTTCCATGTAATTTGTAAGGGGAATCCACAATGTGCATAAAATCATTACTATTTTTGGACCTTTGTCATAGGGTAAACTTGGCTGACTTACATTTTTGTTCATCTCGGTCTATGTAAATTAGATTAACACTGACTAAATTTCTGACTTACCTGACAGTATCAATATCACCATATTCACTGAATAGCTTTTTAATTTCCTTCTTAGTTTTGGGCTTGAAAAGAACATTACCAACAAATAATGTCTTTCTTACTTCAGCTGCTTCTTCTTCAGGAGACTTTGCTTTCCTTTCCCCAGTTTTTGAATCTTTCGACTTTTTAGTTTTTGATTGCTTATCTTCTTTGACTTCTTCATCGTCAGAACTGTCAGCCAGCCCTATAATAAATAAATAAACATTTTTTGTTATGTATACACAATTTTTTTAATTTCAAATGGCAGTATCTTTGTTTTATATTACTTATTAGTCAAGTAAATTGGTTGTTCCTAAATATATATTCATTGCTATTTTAGGTGATCCTAAAATTTGATTTAAATTAAGAAGTGAAGAGAGAGTGAAATTCCACTTTCAAGTCTGGGTGGCAAAGGACAAGAAGATACAACTAGGGATATCAGATATATGATACAAATTTTGTCAACAGGAAGTTGGGGGGTCAAACTTGTGATATATATTTAAATATTTTACTTTTATCATCTTATCAGTAAAATCTTGTTTCCCACTGTGGGTCATAGAAGGAAAATACTTCTGTGTACATTTCACTAAATCAATCTATAATATAAAATTTTATGAATTTAATTTACAAGCAATTAGTGGATTTGACTTCTGTTCCTTGTCTGACCAAAATACTTTATCGGCTCCTGGCATTTAAACCCAGGACTTCTCGGCTTACCTAGCCAGCTTAACGTAAGGCTAAGCAACATGCTCAAGCATTTAACTAGAGAGGCGATCAATCTCACATCTTACTTTTAATGCAATTTTCAAATAAGACACAATTGTGGTAAACACAGGCTGGAACAGTGGGAAAAGTAGAGAACTACCTGTATTAAGTGCTTCCTTATTTTCATCTTCAGACTGTATTTCATGATCAGACTCATGTTCAGAGTCAGTATCTTGATTTGTAATAGCATTTGGATTTACAACTATTTCAGTTTCAGTTTGTACATTAATTTTTGATTTCTTTTGCTTTTTATTAGCTTTCTCATTGGTAGCTTTGTTTATGGAGACATCCTCTAATTTACCAATATTAGAGTCATTTTCATTAGTTTTAGAACAGCCTCCCTTCTTTTTAACTCTTTTCTTTTTCTTACTGTTAATCCTTAATACATTATTTAAATCACTTTTAACATTCTCATCCTGTTCAGCATCTTCATTAATTGTTTCTTCCTTCACAGCCTTTTTGTTCTTTTTAGGAGAAAAATCAGTAACAGACTCAACTACTTTGTCTTCATGATTATCTTTTGTACTTTCCTCAGTAAATGATTTTTTCTTCTTTTTAGGGGATACTTGACTCGTCTCCACATTTTTCTCAGAAACTTTTTCTGAAAATTGCAATTCTGCTGATTGGCACTTTTTCTTTTTTTTTGAAGATTTTTCTAAACTCTCCTGAAGGGTATTCACGTTAACTTCATCTTTAGCTCTCTTCTTAGGTGATTTTACAGTGGTTTTATCTGCATTTTCACTTTCTAAGTCTTCCTTGAGATGTTTCTTTGCTTTATCGACTTTAGGGCTTTTCACACTATTATTGGCTTCATCAACAGTTACGTCTAGGTCTGGGTTTTGAAAAATACGCTTTGGGGACTTCTTAACTATTGCTTTCTTCTTTTGAAGCGATGGGGATAAAAATATTGAACGGTCATCGGTAAACTCACTCTTCGGAGTAACGTTAGGCGATGGCTGATGTTTAACCGGAGTTAATGCCCTTTTCTTCAATTTTGGACGACTAGGTGTCACATTACCCGATACTAATGCTGCAACACTTCCTAATACGTACTCCATAGTATATCGGAAACATAAAATGTAAGTAAAAAAAATTATTCGCTATTAATTTTCAAGCTAATCTCAAAATTCGAAGCTGTTGTTACCGTGGTTTACAATTTTAAGACCACATGGTTGTTGCGCGTTAATAGATGACAGCTGACATTTTAAATTATAGTGATCTCATAAAATTGACATATGACTTATTCTTCTACTTGATTATAACATTACTATTTTGTATGCACATATAGTATTTATATAAAATTATATTTTCCATGTTATCATTCTTTGGAGGTTTTTTAATTATTTTGTGTAAAACCATTAATGATTTAAAATACTTATGAAAGAAACGAATTTATATTTTGTCTCAATCTAGCCTTGCCTCATAGACGCATACTCATATTATGCCCCATCACTGAGCCTCTAGCTCATCACTATCCGCAGCGACGCTTTCGTGAATGGGTGAAGTTTGTGTTGGGTCTACACTTAAATATACGATTTTACGTATTTATCTCGTGCTTAATGCCCGAAAACGTATAGTGGATAATTAGTGTAATTACTATTACATTTATATACAGAGGAAACTGGAAACAGTAAGTAATTACTTTTTATCATCAAATAATAGACGCGCCATGTTAGGCCGCCCGCCATTCATAAGTTAATTGTTTTGATAAACCCGTCCTATTTGAAAATTAAATTCACGTAATATATAATACTTCTTCATAATTAAATTATCCCGTTGTTTATTTTTTTTAGTTTGTAATAATATAAGCATAAGTAAAAACTTAGCGAAACTTGTAAGGTTATGAAATCTTAAAAGTGTCTCATGCTTAATGTAAAACAGTTAGTCGTTTACTTCTACAAACCCCACCTACTATGCTATAAAAATTATTGTTGTAAAATGTGCTTCAATTGAATTAATCCAGCTTCATTTGAACGAGTTTCAAACAGTCGCAAAAAACAAGGAAGTGTCTTATATCTAGTTTCGCGATTTTTGTGACCGTGACCTCGTCTTAGCTTGACGGATTGGAGAAACGAATATCAATGTTTATGTATAATCCAGTATGCACACATTAAATATCTACTTTCTTTCAGTCCGACTGAGTGTGGTGTTTAAGCATATTTAAAAATTACTTTCTTATATTTATAGGATCAATATAACTTTGAAGAGACGTTCTATTCCATTTATTACAGTTTTAAATAAAATGCAAAGCCAACATAGACTTATAAATCTTTCCTAACATTTATAACATAAAATCAAAACATGGAATGTGGTACATTACTTAATTAACTCAAGCCCTTGTTAACTGAAGTGTAACAATCACTGGAGCGTACTTAATGGTCTATGCATCCTTTGCATGTTTAAAATTATAAACTTTATTAAGTCTAACCATTTTATATATTAATATAACACATTTATAAGCTATGAATGTACCTCAATTTTCTTCCTATTATGTACATGTATAGAAAAGGAGAATTTTTGAGAATTTTTTCAGTGATATAAAAAATGAATTTGAAGTTCATGAATGTGAACTTCCATTCTTGTCCCAGCCCCTTTCCAACTTCAACATAGTCATAGTCTTCATATGTATAATATTTAAAACATAAATAAAAAAGGGCTACTAGTGCATCTTAAGTATCTTTCTTAGTGTTGTTTCATAAGTTTCACTATGACCTTAGTTCATCTTGAAAGTTGGGAATATTTGAATTGCAAATGTCTTTTCACATTGCAAATACTGACAGTAATTTACATCAGCGAGTGCCTTCTTAGGTAAAGTGTACTAACATTTTCATGGTAATATGTGCTTGGACATACAGATTTAGAAGTAAGAACTTTTACCGTATTCTGCATGTATCATCTTTAGCATTGTTATATCTTTGACTTTGTCTACCTCTTCTGTTGAAATGTTAATTAAATAAGAAGGATCCAAGAAAGTATAATATTGCATAGGTCAATTGAAAACAGTAACCAAGGATGAGATTACAAAATTAGTTTCATAGAATTTACAATATTTGACTTTGACTTATGCAAATTCTTATCTAAACGACTTGACCTTGTAGAACTTGATATGTTTTGAAAACAAGTCTACAATTTATTCCTTAAGACTTCTGTTAGTATAAAAATGAAAAATATATATTTTGCCTACATACAGTCCTATATGGATAATAGGTTGTAGGTGAAATCAGGTACAGTATATTTAAATTAGCTTTTGTTTGTGCTAAACTAGAACAAACTTAACGCCCTACTATAAATAACATTTCATGTAAATATTAGTTTTCCTCTTGATAAACACGGTACTCATTCTATTATAAATACCTTGAACAGTTATTTGTTTGAATTGCGCTTAAACCTTTCTGGCCTATTTTAAAAATAATTAAGGGCATTTAGGTGGCTAGAATACTTATCTTTCACTATATCTATCCCATAATAGACCCGAGTATTTAATTAAATTAAATTTGCTTCTGACTTGTAGAATAAAGCTACAATTTAAGTGGCAATACATTGATAGACAAAATTGTTCCCTTGTCTGGAACCTAGGCAACTCATAAATGCACGAAGTACATACTCATTGACTTAGATGGATCGCATATAATAAATAAATATGACATATATTTCCATTTTCTACTCAAGAAAAATCAAGACTTCTCAGGAGTAGGAGTTTCCCTTAATTTAAAAATAATACTGTAGCTGTTGAAAACTTTAATATTTTTAACATTATATTAATTATGTATTTCGAAGCACCATGGAACGGATAGGTCGTTTAGTCAAAGCAACAGCATCTACGCTGTATTGATCAAGGTTTTTAATCTGAGATTTTTAATTTGTATAGTGGAGCTGTTTATTAAAAAAAATAAAACGTGTCCAGTAGATTTTATGTCATAGTGATAGTTGAGGCCGTAGATTTAGGTTTGAAGAAAAGTTATTTTCGTTACAAAAAAATACATCTATATTTCTGCCTATAGTATTTAGAATTCTGTTAAGAACTTTGTGTCAGCAGCCGAATATTAATCGCGTAAAAATCGGGACAGGAAGTCACATCTAGCAGAATTACCATACTATGCATGCCTTAACATAAAAAACTTGTTTTTATATTATGTACTAGACATAGCTCGGTAGTGAGTAACCAATGCTAATAATGCTACATTACTCGTAATTATGATTTTATTAATTATTACTATATCGATCTGTTTCCTAACTAGAAACTATCTGTTACGACACATGATTTTCGAACTCTCATTAAACAAATTTTTGGACTGAAACAAAAAAAAACGTCTTAAAGGCATTGTCTAGTCTAAAATCTAAGATGAAGCGACGTTACTAACGAAACGACGTTATTATCTTCCAATTGAAATGGCAAATTCTCATTGATTGTAATTCAAAGTAATTGAGTAGCTATATCACCTTTTCTAAGTATACATATACACTAGTTCATTGACTCATTAAAATAACTAACTCTGCTAAACGATAGCATAATTGCAGAGGGGTAAAAATTTATCAAGCTGGCAGTTCCGTGGTCTACATAAAATAATTACTACGTAATAAATTATATAACATATACGTGTCATTAGCGATGGCTTTGTTGCGAAATACTTCGGAATTAGACTAACCACTTAACAATTTGCATTATTGACAACAATTTAACGATCATGTGACTGGCGAACCTGGAAGAAAGGCTCACTTGCCTATCGATAAGGGTGTGGACACAAACCGCACATTGCGTAAAGTGGCCCCGACTGAACCAAGTTGTAATGCAATATTGGTATAGATAAGGATTTCGTACAAGCCACACCTGCCACTATCAGTAACAGAGATAATTTGTTACTACATCTGGTCTTAATTTCAAGTACATAATTACTAATTAATCGAAATTTCGACTTGATTTTCAAATTTTATTTGTAATATAACCACTGATACTGACTAAATCAAACAATATTTTAAGTCATCCATCAGTGAGACACGATGGCAATCTCAGAAAGACAAGAGTTCCTTAGTTATTGTAACATGCCACACCGCACATAGCAAATATTAACCTTAATATTTTAGGATACAGATTTAGTCTACACGTGTCACGAGTTAGAAGTATAGAGATGGGTCATATTTTGGCTACGGACTTTGTCGTGCTTATTCTTCTGATATGCTAAAGACATCGTTGTCATGAAAAGACACTAAAATTCTTGATATACTCTTTGCGTATAACTTTAAATATAGACGACAATTACAATATATGTTCTCTAATAGGAGCAGCCAAGGTGCGTGTTTTGTTTTCATTTAGTTAACGTTTTTTGTGTCCCAGACGCGCGACACTCGTGTTGAAAGATCTGCTATTAAATACACTGCCCGAATTTTGTTCTTTTTAGTTTAGGAGTGTGGTTTTGGCACTGTCAACACCAACACTTGTTCTAGAATGTCTGTCGAGTGTAACGTATTATTTTGAAGCTCTCGTCTGTTAAGGGCTTAGCTTAAATAGAGAGTTAAGAAAAAGTGAAATTGCTTGATAATAGTTAGTTCTATCGTCAATATTCGAAATAGTCCAGGGTACCGTTGAAGGCGTGGCAATGTGAAGCATGTAGTGAGCTAGAGCAAATAGAAACCTCTACGTCTGAATCTATAATGAACATTGTAGATCTCGTACAGCTAATAGCTCTTTTGGCCCTTCGCGGTGGCGACGCGTCTGTCCATCACACGCGATGAAGCGAATAGTGAAAGACGTTTATCCGTATTACGTATATTTTTCTGACTACTAGGTGATACTGTAAAATATGTCGTTCGTTCCGAAATAGAATTATTGTATACTACATAACCAGTAGCGTAGCTAAATGACCAAGGGCCCCGGTGCTTAAAGAAGAATCGGGCCCTCATCCCTTCTTTTCGCGTAGCTTAAACATAGATAAGCCCTAAAAATTATAGATATTTAAAACAATAAAAATATTTTTGTTTTCTCATAAGCTTATCTCTTTTCATAAATGAGAGAAGAGGGCCCTCTAAACCCCGGGGCCTTGGTGCACTGCACTAACTGACCCTGCGATAGCTACGCCACTGTTTATAATCAATTGTCAGTAAGCCCCCTACTTTTTTGTGCAACCTTTAATTTTTACCAATGCGTTTCGTAATTAGTGCTACGTTGGCGCCTTTTACTTGTACCACACTGTTTATATAAGTGTGCGTACGAGAGTGCATTGACCCGCGTCTTTCGTACGGCAGTCGTGATCATAAGACGCTGCTTTTTACGACGATTCAATATCAAGGTGAAATCTATGGAGTACGAAGTGGTGCTCGAGTGAGTCGGTTATACTACGTATTTTGAGGGCGAAAAAACTTTATATTTCCTGTACTTGACTTCTTGTCACGATACAAGTCTTGTAAAATTTAATTAACGCCTTAAAATATAGTAAGATAGCATATGAATATATGCTATTTGCTATAGCTTAAATGCTATGCCATATAAGTCAAAATAGTTTTGTATGTATATTCTGTACAACATTATTATTATTTTTGTATCTTACAGCACCCTATGAGCGGGACCGGAGATTTCAAATATACAGACTTACAAATGCTCCATAATTATAGAACCCAAAAAGAAAAAAACGTCGACGCGAAGAATGCTCGTAAATCGTAATGTAATTCGAGGCGTTTCATTGCCCGTCGACAGCTGCGGGCTTAATTTACCAATGAGCGGATATTTTTAATTGAACACACAAAACAGAGTAAAATAGATAACTTTAATAAACAGAAAAAAGTAGGACGTGACAAATTTGTGATTACAATCGGTAAACTGATGACATGTTTATTTCATTACATTTGTCTCGATAGACGTGAATATGATAGATCATGTTTATAGTTCGTTATCACGACTCGTTAGCCTTACGCATCGTGATATCGGAAAAATATCTTAAACGCAGATAAAAAAATCATTGGGATGAAAAACCCCACGAAGCCAATCAATGTTATTGTAGTATGTGTAAATATTATGTTTATACATACGTAAATCACAGTTTTCTTACGGCGACATTAAGTTTTCAGCAACATCAGTTGTAATTTTAAAATTTATAGAAAAAAATGTATTGGCGACACAAAATGCAAGAGAAATACCTACAGGTATCATCGTTGCCTGTAATGTAGCTATCTCTGGTTTATTGAAGAACCTAAAAAAAAGCTTTTTCTATTCCAGGTACAATGAGTAATATTGTAACGCGGAAGGGACCGATAGGGGAAGACAGTAAGGTAAATATTAAATGAGCGCTTGAGTAATTATTTTATCTCACAACAATCAGATTTTATAATCTATGTAAGCGCTGCGGAAAGAGATTGTCATGTAGATGCAGTCTTTGCCTGGACTTTCGCAAAGCTAGGTAGCTTTGCGAAAGTCATCAGTAATAATTATTATAACAACAATGGGTAAAAATTCCCCAATCGTGTAAGATTAATAAACCAGTGTCTCAGGTGGCGGTAGAAGACGGCAGAGAAGGTTGATTTACGCGTCGCTTGTAATCAGACTGGTCTCCCCTTACGTACACAAAGATAAACAATAAAACATTAAGTAATAACATTTCCATCTTTTATACTAATTTTATTATTAATAATAAATCGCCTATATAGCAAAACGAGTACTTTTAATGGCAGAATATATATTTTTTCAGAAACACTCGGACAGTCCAGTGAAGGAAATGAAAAAGAAAATGGCGGCCAACGCTGAAAAAGAAAAACAGGCAGCTGAAAAGGAAAAAGTAGAGAAATCAAATACGACTGCAAAGCAAGCGGAAAAGGCGAACCAGAGCGACAAAGCAGAAAGAGCACATAAGAAGGATAAATCTGCAGACAAAGCTGTAGATAAAACGGAAACGAGAGACAAATCGGTAGAAAAGGTGGGAGACAAGCATAAACCTACAGAAAAAGTAGCAGAAAAGTCAGATCAGAAATCTACAGAAAAGAATGTAGAAAAGGTAGAAAAGAAGGCGGATAAAGGAGACAAGAAGGAGAAAGCGGAAAAGAAAGAAGGTCCGATTGTACAAATTGAAAAGACAAAAGAAGAATCCAAGGAGAATGGAAAGGTACGAGAATAAATTAAAACTAGTAATTTGAGTGGCATCATAAAGATATAATTTTTATTTTTAATGTCAAGGTAATATTTCATTTTGAAAATAGTAAAATTGCAAATTCAGGCGGACACCCCGGACAAGCAGAAACGCGACTCGTCGAAGGCGAAGCAGAACGGCGCAAGAGTGAACGGCGGAGGAGAGCCGGACGGTCAAAGCACGGTGAGTTCGGAGGACGACGACGAGGACGAAGACCGACTGTTCCCCGAGCTCTCCTACGAGGACGAGGACGTTGAGCTCTTCGAGCCCCCCACGCCTGAGGGGCCCAGTCGCAGTTACACCAGGCGCTCGCAGGTCAGTGGGGGGCGAGAGACGACTTGCATTTAACGCCACATGTCCTGTATTGCGAAGGCATTCCTACTCAAAACATTCATTTTTTATGTCGTCTAAGCATTATTCCAACATCTCGCTAAGGTGAATGAGTTTAGAATTGCTTCGTGTCAGATTTATTATTTGGTTAATGCGTCCCACCGTCTCTCGATAAATTCACGTATACCGCTGCGCTATAAGGTATGCTCCTAACGTCGGTCCATTCATATTTGACTAACAAAATCATTTTGGTGAAGGTGAAGGCGAGTCGCACGCCGGAGACCCCGCGACCGGCCTCGGACAAACAGACGGACAAGGATTACGTGCCAGAGGAAGTAAGTTTCTCATCCGCGAATCTAAAATCATATGTATATAACACATCTATCAACATATAAGAGCTCTTTGAAGAGCTTATTAGTTCCATTAACGTATTAATTAAGTAGTATAACGCGAATTGGATTATTTTTTCAGCCAAAGGAGTCTTTAATCGTGAAATTGAAAGAAGCCCCGTCAGATCGCAAGCTGCGTTCGTCAAACTCCCCCAAACCTCAAGACAAGGCAGAAAAAGCACAAGACAAGAACGACGACAAGAATACTGAAAGCTTCGAGAAAACGGAGAACGTCAACGATGAGAGTAAGATTGAAAATAAACCGGAGTCGGAAGTCGCCATAGAAGAGAATGAAGGTAAATTTTGCTACGATTAAAAAGTAAGCCCACGTAAATAGCGTTTTACGATCTAATCTAATCTGTTAAGGGATACAATAAAAAGAAACGAAACATGAACACTTGGTAAGTTAAAAAATCAATAAATGGTGATAATAAACAATTGGTAGTAACACTATTGTTTGTCTGTCTGTCTACCCTTAGCGAACAAAATAATATTACTAATAATCAGTTTATTAGTAAATTGGAAATTGTGAGTCCGTTGTGTCGTCGTTGAGTGGGGCAGCGTGACGATGTTTGTAGTGTGACGTTGTGTGTGTGCAGAGGAGGCGCGCAAGCCGGACACCAACTACTCGAAGTCGCGAGTCAAGGTCTCCCCCTACAGGAGGAGTATCCGCCTCGCGGACCAGACCGCCACCTCGCTGCAGGCCAACTACACGGGTGAGTAGAATCTATCAAAATCCAAAATCATCTATTAGTATATATAACAGTTTATTTGAAAGCCCTAATCTCAAGAACTACTAATTCGAATTGAAAAAATCTTTTTGTGTTGGTTAGAGTTTATCCAGAAAGGGTATTAAGATCGCGCTGCGACTAATGGGAAAGAAGAAACAGCGAGAAATGTGGAGAATATTATTTACACTGCGAAAACGGTCCAAGTCACCCAAAAAATATGTATAGAAGAACGTAGAGAAATGATCTTAAAGAAGTCCATTACAGTATATGTCTATCTTTTAAGGTTACCTTGCAAGAACGATGTTTGCAAAAACAAATGTTGACGCCCAAAATAACTATTCCACGCGGACGAAGTCGCTCACACAGCTAGTTTATTCATGTAGCTAAAGCATGGTAACAGTAGATTAATAATTTTTAAAAGGCATATAAATAAAGCCCATTAAAATGCGTCCTCTACGACATATTGAAGGCAACAACACGACGATGGAGATGGACATCACGGAGTCGTCCCTCACCTTCGAAGAGCCGTCCGGCGTCGAGAGCCCGTACCTGAGCGGTCTGCGCAACATCCGCGGCCGGAGATCCTACAAGCCCCTCAAGGAGATGACGCTGCGTAACATCGGCGTCAACACCAGCATCAGGTCGACGCCTGGCGCCTCGAGTACGTACTGTATACAAAAGGGCTGACACACAACTTTGAAGCTCAAGTAGCATTTTTAATCCAGGTAGAATAAAATCGAAACAGTTTGATTGGTTGACATTTGATGTTATTTCGCAGTTGTAATGGAGATTGCTCTCACTGTAATCTAAGCACGTAAGGATTTCTAATTGAAGGTCAAAGTAAAAATCACGTAGGTAACAAAGTACAATTCTGAACGTCACATCAGTTAAAAACTAACGTCATAACAACCCTGTCCAAGCGGTTGTTTTACAAACGATTTAAACTTATTGTCATGTTATTTGTCGAAAGATAAATAATCAGTTCTTCTCGGATGCCTAACATCGTTCGTGAATTCAGTTTCAGACACATCGCGTCCGACCGGCACAGTGGTAGGACGCAAGCGCAAGCCCGAAGCGACGGAAACAAACGAGGAGGACTCGAACCGCGACTCGAACGAGTCTCGAGGCAAACGCGCCAAACTGCTCGAGCGCCTCGGGGGACTCGCCAGGCCGTTCCGCTTCTCGTCCGCTGCCTCGGATCGGCTTTGTGTCGAGAGTACCGCTGAGGTGAGACAGCTTACTTTTGTAAGTCATTTAAAGAATAAAAATAAAAAAGAATACAATTATTGTTATTGTTCAGATCGTGGGCATAAACACGGACTTGCCGCTGAGCGCGCCCGTCGCGGCCGCAGATACGCTGGACCCGGAGTCGCTGAAGCACGCGACGCCATTGCCCGCGCGTGCGCCTGCGCTGCCCGACGCCCACCGGGACAAGCGGTGCTCTATTATGTGAGTGACTAATTTCGTTATTAGTAATGCTTAACATCATGTAGTTACAGCAGAATGCAAATGTTGTCAAAATATGTGTTGTTCGTTTTAACTTATATTTTATCCATTCGCTAACACAAGCCTTCATTCAAATACTATAGGAAGTATATTACGCCTTTACCTGTTCTAATATACATAAAACATTTCTCCAGGTAACAACTATCGCCTGCACAGGTTAGAAGAAGATTGTTCGATGATAAATGATGTTTGCCTTGACAATTGCGTCGCGACGTGGAAGCCTCGAATCGATTACAAATCGACTTTTATTGCGCAGTCTCTAAATGATATTGCTAAATTACGAAAATATACATGTAGTGGGTTATAACCAAATGGCGACGACAAGTAGAAGTTAACAATATTTAGTAGGACCTAAATTTGTAATGCTATGTTTTGTCCACAGAAAACGGTTAAAAATGCGAAATATATTCGTTCATTTACTTTTAACTACGTGGGTTGCTGCATGCAACGCAATGCAACAGTCAACATTAAAAGAACCAATATAGATCGCTACAAATATGTCCCCAGACTTTGTTATTGCAATGTTTCGAAAAGTGAAGTTGTCACGATGGAAAATGTAGCATAAACAACGGCCAATCCGACTCGTTTCAGAGTACAACTATGAGTTTGTGTAATCTCGCTTTCAACATTTCGACCAGAGTTTTGTATAGGGACCTGTAGCTCTGTTCGTTGATGCCAAGGGCGCCATCGTGTAGGCCACACAAGTTTTTACTTGTCGCTAGCATAAACCTTACTAATGATGAATTAGAGGAAAAAAAACTCAATATCTCAGATTGGCCGTCGTTTACACAGAATATTGACCATTGTGCCCTCGGGCGGACTCGTACTCTAGCGTACACAAATGTCAAGTACACAAAGTTCAATATTCTGTGCATCAATATTATTATTTAAGATGTGCACGTACCCGACGTGGTACAATATTTTAGCCTTGGACGTATTCGTAGTTAAGTTTTATCGAGGACCCTCAAATATACGCTAGAATTGATTTTATATGACTTAGCGATTTATGTTAGTGGATAACTTCCATTCTCGACTTTACGTTATAGGTTAAGTAGATATACGCTAAAGTTAAGTGTTGTCGTATTTAGCAAATTGACTCGCGTTTTAGCAGTAAAGCTAAATTAGGTTTTTTGATCTCCTTTACTTCTTGGGCTGAAAAGTACTACCCCAGCTCGATTATACTTTGAGTCTTTCTGCGAGGTACGGCAACACTTAATTTTATCAACTAGCTGTCTTGTCTAGATCCAAAGTTTTGATAGAAATCATGTGTGTACAAAAATTGTGATTTTAAAATAAACTTATATACACAGACACAATTAGATGAGGAATGTCGGTGTCACTAACACTATTAATCTCTGACAATCTTCTAAAACATGGGTTTCGCTATGTTGGAGCTTAGAATAACACTAACTCCGCCTTCTAATCTAGCGCATGAGTTTTTGTATGTCGAATGTGTGTAAAATGTATTTTTTCACGAACCGTATGAACGTAGCAACATGACAATAGTACCACCGCGATGCCATTAGCGCCACCGAATTGAATTATTTGCCATAACGTGGCGGTAGACTTGAGTGAAAAAATTTAATTAGCTATCATAAAAATCTAAACCAAGTATTACATAATTTCTCATTCTGAGGTCAATTTACCTTTGATGTAATTTCCACGTTTTTCGCGCTCAAGTCACAAGCCCACTAGTAACCGCACTTAGCCTACTGCCATTTTGCAGTGCATTTATGTGTTGAAATATTATTTCTTCTTAAGGCGGGTTGTGCAAGAGCAGGTAGTATAGAAATAATTAAACTTCTTCGCTCTAAAAGTACTTTCAGTTTTCTGAAACCGCATATTTGTTTACGTTTACCGTATTTCGTGTCCATTGAAACAGAAAACTTTCGCACCTTCTTGCGCTCCAAATAATTGAAGTATTATTGGGTTCATAATTTCTTGATACTAATTTCGTTTATATTCTTCTAGTGTTTAAGTATGTAGTTTAGTATAGATTTATTATGATTGAATTGAAATTATAATTTTTGTTAATAAATTTATACAACATTCGGTAAGTTTTATTAAATAACAAATAAATTCGTACCTACCTGGGAAGGCTGTTTGTATGTACATATCGTGAGACTAAAGTGATAACAAAAACTGATATATCTATAATTAATAATACTAGCCCATATCGGGTTCGCTTGTAACTCCGCCATTTGTAATGCACGGCCACGTGCAAACGCTGATCACTTTCGCTGAAAAGTTGAAATCATTGTGATTTTTCCTTAAAATATGCTTCAAACCTAAATGCCCTTTAACAGAAACTGTAATGGCTAACTGCATCCTTACCTTTATTTTTCTCCGTGTCGATTTCAGTCAGGGGCATAGAGTGTTGCCCGCACCCCAACTGGCCGCGTAGACCCCATAGGAACACGCCATTGGGGGTGGTGTTGACCCCACAGTCCTGTTTGGTCTGAAGACATTTATTCCGCGGTTCCACCGTCTGACAGTGTATTTCGGAACGGAGGTGACTGTAGTTCGTTTGAGTGGAATGTGTTTGACAGTTCACTATATTCGCCTGAAATAACATTATTTTTCACTACAGTCCTTAAATCAAGCATGTCATCATTTCAAATGCAGGTTACCCATTGGCAAGCGCGTCGTTTCCACTCCCAGAGGTCCCAGGTGTAGTTCTTCTCGATATATCCTTCGACGGGATGAGTCTCGGTCTGTATATCCTTGTCCATTACTTTCGCTGGAACGTTTAAATATATACGTTATTATACACATTATTTTCGGAAAATCTATTTTTGAATATTTCGATGTAGTGTTTTATTCCAGAGTTATTGTGAAATATTTGTGATTCCAAGAATCATACGCCATTGAAAAAGCATGATATATAGTTAAATATAGTCGCCATCTAGCTTGACTAGTGAGTCAAGCTAGATGCGACTATATTTAACTTACAACTAAAGCATAAAAGCGGTTACTTTTGGGCTCAATCCTCGTGACCAGAAGTTGAATGTCCTTGACTGCATTCACGGCTGATGCTATGTTAAGCAAATTGATAAGGTGCGGATTGTTTCGGGAATACTCCAGTACTTCGTTGACGTATCTGTTCAAAATTAACATTTCATCGCATACGATGGCACTATATAAATTCGAAATCGACTTTAGATTTTAAAAAATTACGACACTGGCAGGACTTGAAACGGCATCCACAGCGTTCCGTGCTGTTGCTCTGACTAATTGAGCAACCGAGTAGTCCTACTATCACCTACTTGAGTGTGTATAAAAACTGTGGATTTCTTCGTTAGCATGTTTTCATCTTACCTCTGCGGATCACGACTGAATCGTGCGGCCATTTTAACTGAACAGAATCCGTACTTGTCGCCCTTGCTCTTGATAAGGCCTATCTTCATGTTGCTGGGAATAAGCGCGCCGACGCCCAGACAGACCGCGCAGAAGCCTAGAAACTGATCTATCGATAGAGGCTGGAGCATCTATCTGAAATAATTCTAGTCGCACTATACTACATTTCGCACTTGCTGCATTCATAAGAGTAGGCTGCCGGCAAATCGGCTGACGATGCAGCGTACTTAAACTTAACATTTTGCAGCAATCTTATCCGTGAAATTTATAAAACTAACAAAGGTAGATGACAAAAAACGTTCTTCAGGTCCTAACCAAAACAAAGTAAGAATGCAACAAAAAACTTCACAACTGTTAACGAACCTTGACATTTCTCTCCTTCAACGACATAGTACTGTCGGTATACGCCACGAAGTTCTTAAAGGAGCCGAGCGATATCCGATCCTCGACGCTGACGCGACTGACCCTGTCCTGGTCTGACGTCACGGCGCGGCCCTGCAGCATGCTCTGCACCAGAGGAACGGGGATCTTCATCTGCTCTTGGATAAGAGACAACGTCCCCATCAGACGGTTTACGGTGGCCACCAGGTACATGATGTTCTGCATGCAGCGCCACACTTGCCACACTTTCGAGAATAGAGGCTGAAGGGCATTTATGTACTTTAATATTGTCCTAATTATTATTTTTGTCCTTGTAAATTTTTTAACTCACAAAGACCGTAACAGTCGGAACAGCCGCCTTGTATTTGACAGCGGCGTGCAACTCTTCGAGCACGACCCGGAACTTGTCCACCTGCGCAGTCCCACTCTGCACCAGAGATTCAACGTCACTTAAAAGCTTACGAATGTACACTTCGTACTGTCGATTGAAAGCCAGCAGTTCAAAAACCTGCTTGTAGTCATTCCTGGAATGAAAATTTGCTTATATAACCTACCATATATCTATGCACTGTTGGTCGTTAAAATCTTTAACTACCTTCACATTTTTTAAATTCTCTTGTATGTTAAAAGAATTATTAAACCTACATAACGAATATATTTTGGGGTCTATTTTATTTATTTTTATTTCTTTGAACTTACGATCAAACGGCCTTACATAGCACTTAATTAACAATACAACTTATAGAATAAACGATACAGACAGCCTTTCAGATTGCTTACATCGCTATAAAGGGTTAAGTAATTTACCGAAGTGAGAAGGAAAAAAACAATGGAAATTAAGATAAATAAGAAAAATTTTGCCGAGTTACAATTTGCTTATTATTGCTTTTTGAATTTGTTTAATCTATTCCAACAAATGTCTAGTGGTATTGTTATCTAACTCGGTAAGTTTAGAACTCGCTGGCAGGTCGAGAAGTACATTCCCAGTCTCCTCCTGGATCGATACGGTGTCAGCGATCGCTGAAGTCAGCGTGTTGACTCGCTGCATCACGGCTATCAGCGCATTGGATAGTGACGAGAGACACGCTTTGCCGGCGTCCACTAAGTTGAACGGTACTAGAATATAAGCGCGTAGAATTTAATGAACGAACGTTGTAAATTGACTAAAATAATTTTTAGCAAGTGGCTAATTAAACACATGAAGTTTACATTAAGAATTACCAGAAACTAATATAAATAAACCCATTTTCGTAGTTTAGTATCCTGTACCTTATTAAATTTTAGCGATTGTAAATACGATCCACTCACAATCTGGTATCCCTTCACCACCATTCTTGCAGTCTCGATTAAAAAGTCTTACGCCAGACGTGACCTGCGTCAGCTCATTGAGTTGCGCCAACTTTTCTACGCGAGGCATCGAAGCAAATACTTTCAGATCGTCGAGAGTAAAAACGCTCTCCAACGCCGCCATACCCTCTTTTAAGGTCTGAAATTATTTATTATGATGATATTACCTATTACAACCATTTAAACCAAAACGTCCTAATCTGAGTAATCGTTCAAAAGTATCTTCGTAAGTTGTACCTTACCCCGATACTCCCGGGATTCCCGAGGCCGCTCGTCAAAATTATGTAAATAGACATTTTCCTAAAGAGCTTTTTTAAAGCCGCTTCATCTTCAGGGTCTTCGTCCAAGATCTCAGAGACGAGCGGACGCAGGCAAATGTCGATCGAGTCCAAATGCTTGTCCACCAGCACCTGCAGTTTGTCGTAACTAGTTTGCATCGTGAATTGCATCTTGAGAGTGTTCACCGATGTCTCACATTCTAAAGATTATAATATGTACTCTTGTTAATCGACAACTAAACAAATATTTAATCCATGCAGCTGCATCAGACGTTTTGTAAAATATCGTTTAAAAACGACTCACTTGTCAACATGGCGACGCATTCCGAAACGAAGAACTCCAAGTTGTTCCTACTAATCGTCTTGGAAAACAATTTTCCATACTTAGGATTAAGTAGAAGCAAATCTATAAGATATATAACAAATTCGGGATCGACCGTCACGCTACTTTGCGCGACACAATTCCTAGCTATTTCATTTGCTATATTTTTGATCACGTTTTCGTTACAAGCCATTTTTAGAAACGTAGAAAAAAATGCCCAAAATAAATAACGGTGTCTATGGCAACCACATTTTTTTTCAATGGTATCTATGACCTGGCAACGAGCCAACAAAGAGCATAGTAAAATTACCTAATAATGAAATGTTTAGGTCAAAAAGCTATGCATCCCTCGAGGGGTAATAATTATCTTGGTATTCATGTCACTGTTAGGCTTTTAGGTAAATGGTATGCTTACTAAGATAAAAAGGACTCTTTATTTAGTGTTTATTAATCCTTAGCGAATACTATTTTACAAGTTTTTTAGAATAGGACACCTCCCTTATCGTTGTTAGTATAATTACCACATTTAGATCTTTGAAATGCAACACCATTGTATGATATACAATTGCAATTGTATTATATTAGACAAAGTCGCATTAAATTTAGACAGATTAAAAACTAGATAATTTTAAATGTCTAAAGATGAACACTTTACACTTAACTCTAGTTGCCTAGTGAGATACATAATTAAAATTTTATGAAACTAGAGATTGTTTTCTTCAAATAGAAAAATAATATTTTGGTGCATAACAAGGGAAGGAACTAAAGACGAAACTAGAAATCCACAAACTAGACTTTGTTATCATCATGTCTTATTTTACTTGCACGGAATAGCTAAAGTAGATTTCCAATTTCAAGATAATTTGTATGCAGGGCGTTTATTATTAATAATAAAATAAACTAATACACTGCACATTTCGACACATAGAATTTTCATAGAAACTCAAAAGTAGTAGTTTACAAGTCTAAGTGGAAATCTACCTAGCTTTTCCTAGCTATAATTTACTTTACTACATATGTATTCTTACACTATGATTCGCGAAACCTGCGTCCTACCCTCTTACAACATTAGTCCATTAGTACCCTTACAGTAGCTTTGAATGGTATCTTATTTAAATACTGTCTATAGTTTACGCGAGTAGTACAATTTAAATAAAACACTTTAACGGTTTAAAACGCGATATATTAGTTAAACTTATTTGAAAATGATTTTTAACTTCGGCCCGACGTTTCGGATGCTTTGCAGACAGCCGTGGTCACGGGGTCTTCAGTCTCCCCGTGACCACGGCTGCTGCAAAGCATCCGAAACGTCGGGCCGAAGTTAAAAATCATTTTCAAATAAGTTTAACTAATATATCGCGTTTTAAACCGTTAAAGTGTTTTATTTAAATGGTATCTTATTTTCCTGTATTAGACAGTCAATTAGTAAGCCAAAATATGTGCGACAAATAGTTACTAGACCAACATTGTGGCATTCAAATGACATTGAAATAAATTAGTTGTCCCAACCATTACAATTTTGTCAGTTTTGCACCAATAAGTTAAGAATCTGCTATTTCACAAAGTAGATGTATGTGACACATTTTGAACAACAGACTCTGTTGTTTTGTACGACACCATTGTTGCAGTCAACAGTATAGGACATGTAATATTTTATGTATTAAAAGATTTGTTTGTCTCATCATATACCTCATGGTATAAACAAATAGTCTTATACATAATCCTATAATAGAATACAAGATTCCTAAGCAATTTTTGTAATTGTAACTAAAAATATATGTTTGTAAAATAGATATACACGTACTCAAAGTACTTAAAAATACCAATGGGTAACGTTGAAATGTTAGTGAGTCGCAAATATTTTGTATTCAACCCATTGCACTTATTTGTTTAAATATGTACACAGCCGGCGACCTGTCTAATCCAGGAAGTGGGTCTTGAGATACTTCATCATGCCGAAGGTGCGGAAGCGTTTGGTCCCGATGACCTTGTAGAGGGCGTCGTCGCAGATCGCGAACTGCTTATTGTTGGGGTCGTAGAGGTTCTTCTCCTTGATGATGGTCCAGACCCGCTTCACCACCTCGTGACGGGGCATCTCGTCTTGGCCCATCAGATCGGCTAAGGCTGGTGACAGCCTGTAGGCGCGCGTATAGCCACCTCCTTTGCCGCGACCACCGCCCTGAAGAGTAAATGAATTTTTATAGACCGAGATGAGGAATAAATATGATTTTGTAAAATTTGGGGTTTAAATATGTTATGCAATTAGGGCCTGTAATAAAGACAATTGTTATAGAGATCACTATAGGTAAGATTTATTACTTTACAAGAAAATAAATATAACTGTTTTCTCATTTAAAAATAAAACTACCTTCTTTGGTTTGGCAGCTTTTTTCTTTCCCCAATTACCGTCGGAGTCGTCAGATCCCTTCCGCTTCCTTCCCTTCTTGGCTGGTTTCTTTTTCTCCTATTAACAATACAATTATCATTTCAAAAGTGCTGGACAGGCCAACCTCTATTATCAACATTGTTTCTATATCATACATTCAGTTTTCTATGATTTTATATCTATGTTTTTTGATGAATTTATTAAACTGTAGAAATATTTGTACACTATTGGTATTTATAAAAGACATGACAAACAAACTCTAATATTACTATTATTTTTAGATCTTCATTCAGAAATAAATAAATAAAAGTGAGCTGTATTATTAACCTCCTCTGATTCATCAGCAGAGTCAAGCTCATCAGAACTCTCCTGTTTTGGCTTCTTTTTGGGAGCAGCCGCCTGAAACAATTTCTCCCTATTTATTTGTACTTAATTAGAGTTATTACAGAAAATAAATTTTCTTAAAGTAATTAAAATTTCATGTCAATTAAAGTGAATATTACCTTAGCCTTTCTGCCTTTCTTAGCCGGTTTCTTCTCCTGTAAACAAGATATAATTGTTAAAGGAAAATTATATTTTTATTAATTTTACACAGCATTTAGTTATTGGGATATATTTGCCTATTCAGGCTCAGTGTACAAAACAACTAGAAATAAAAGTTGCTATTACAAACCTCTTCCGAGTCACTCTCCTCTTCTTCTGAAGTCTCTTTACGTTTCTTGGCTTTAGGCTTTGCCTTCTTTTCTCCTTCACTCTATAAGGGAATGTAAATCATTATCGGATGGAAAATCATTATCCATCATATACATACCTACATGGAAAACAAATATAGTTATCGTAAGGCCACGAGTGAGTCAAGGGCCTTTGGTCTAGAAGCTAATTACACTGTGTCTTTAGTCTTTTATATCTTACATCAGAGCCTTCTTCGCCGCTTTCCTGTTCAGAGTCTTTGCTGTTCACGTAGTCCATGACAAGCTGGTCGATCACTTTCTTCTGAGAGCTAAGATCGGTGTCAAATACCTCCTCCAACTTTTGTATTACTTTCTTAGTTGATGTTTGCGCCAAGTTCGCATTCTGAAGAATTTCTACAAACAACATCAATACTTTATCAGATATTTCTTAATTTGGGTAAAGCAAACTAATTTTACATACTTAATCACAAAAATTGGTAATCAATAAATAACTGAACATATAAATTAATGTTTCCCCTCTATTTATTTCTTGAAATCTTAAGATTGGATTTAAACAGTAAACAGATTAGGTTTCGTATCATTCACTCAAAGATATTGCTATTACTCGCTACGAACTGTGTATTTAGAGAAACCCTTCATATAATATCTATTTTATAACTAGATGCGCGCTAATACACGGCTTTAATTTGTGCAAAGACGTCGCCATAAACCTGCACCATACCTGAAGTACGGACGTAGCGTCGCATAAAATAAACCACCAGTGGGCAGCCCTATTTAGGAAGTTAAAAATAAAGGCGAAATCGCCAAGAAATCCGCAAAACATAGCGGAACAACTTTCACATGAAACATTTTCGTATGGATGTTATACTATCAGAGATATTTCAGTTCCCACTTAGAAAAAATTAACTTCGCTTGGATTTAGTATGGAAGCCATTACATGAAACGAAGTCACACTTATAGCTATGTAAAATTGCTTATTTTAAATTGTGATAGAAAAAAAATCTCCATTATTTCCATGAATATGTTTTACTTACTTGCGATTTCTTTTTCCAAGTCTTCTTTAGATATATCTGCCATTTTCGCTGAAGAAGTTAGGTGAAATAGTAGTCAGCCAGCAAAACACAAAAGGCCACACAATAATATACCTACTCAATAGATGCTACACGGCACTCAGCCGAAATAAGACGAACGCTAGTCGTGAAATTTCGGCGGCGCGGCTTTTTTAACCGACCAATCACAACAAAGCATTTCTTTTACAAGATGCGTTTACGACATAAGTATATGGAACGATATGAAAATTATCAATTTATTATTAATACATTTCCAAAAAAATGTATAAAAAATATTATATTCTGTATATTAAAAACCTTTTTAAATTTATTTGTATAAATTCATCTATATCAATTGAATTTTAAAGTTTCAAGTTTATGTTGTTTGTGACTGTGGTTAATGAAGCAAATTGCCAATTATAACGTCGTTGTCAAAACCATGTGAAAATATTTACCTAAGCTATGTGATATGGGTTAATATGGTCGGTTGTAACCTGAAAATTTTTTTTGAAACTTGAAATTAAAGCTATGTGTTAAATAATTTGAATATATTATTGTGTATAGTGTTAAAATGGCAAAAGTAAAAAATAAGAGGAACGCTAGATTAGCAGATAGAGTCCATAAAAAGAAAGCTGGGGATGTAAAAAAAAAGTTGAACCCTTTCGAGGTTCATATAAACAGAGAAAAACTCAAAGTTTTGGGAAAAAAATCTAAGCATGATCGTGGATTACCTGGCGTTTCTCGTGCCAAAGCCGTTCAAAAAGTAAAAAAATACATATAGTTTTACTTATTAATTATACTTTTAACCCACATTCTTCACTTAATAAAAGTGATTCAAATTTCAAACATGGCACATTTAAAATTGCAGCGTAAAGAAACTTTAGGTACAGAAATGAAGCTTCTGAACAAGACCAATACTTTCATTGACCGACGTATTGGTGAGAAAAGTAACAATATTTCGACTGAGGATCGCATGATTGCTAGATTTGCTGCTGAGAGAGCTAAACAACATAGCAAGAAAAGCATTTATAACTTAGCTGATGATGAAATACTTACCCACAGGTATGTAAATAAATAAATTTAACTTCACATTATTATTCTATAAACAATACCAAATTTTGTGTTGATAGTGTCCGCTGGAACATTACGCGCGACTAGGCGTTTTTTGCCCTTAGTAAATACTAATTCTATTATGAAAAGAAAATTATACTTTCTTTCAGAGGTCAAACATTGGAACAAATTGAGAAGTTTGATGACCCACGGTCTGAAGATGAGGATGAGGATAAACCATTTGGCGGTTTAGATGGTAAATGTTCTTAACACTTATGTGTCTACTTCAAATGTATCTACTCATTAAAAATTAATTTTAGATTTAAAAAAAAATATGGAAAAGGGCAGGACTTGAACATCTCATTTTCAGAGGTATAAGCTGTATGTGGTTTAAATAAAACATTTTAACGGTTTAAAACGCGATATACTAGTTAAACTTATTTGAAAATTATTTTTAACTTCGGCCCGACGTTTCGGATGCTTTGCAGCAGCCATGGTCACGGGGAGACTGTATGTCGTTTACCAGCAAGTTCTTTATATAAACATGTATCTCATACTTGCAGCACTTATTTTTGCAGCAATGATTTATCTATTATCATTCTGTTCCTAGATAACTTTGTATCAGAGGGTCACTTTGGAGGTGGTATCCTTTCAAAAACTGAGTCAAAAGATGGAGCAAAATCACATAAAGACCTCATAGAACAACTTATAGCTGAATCAAAAAAACGTAAAGCTGAGAAGCAGAAAGAAAAAGAACAAACCTTAGATTTAACAGAAAAATTGGACAGTGAATGGAAAGATTTACAGCCGGTTGTTTTTAAAAAGCAGAGTGAATCATTGATTGATAAGCTTTTAGCCGATGCTGAGAAGGGTCAGGATTATGATAAAATGATGAGAGAGTTGAAGTTTGATAGGCGAGGAACTGTGAGTAATAAAATATTATTTCTATTAAATCACTAGATTAAAATATTATTTACTTAGTTATATTATAAATATGCTTTCTATTCCAGCCATCAGACGCACTTAAGAGTACAGAAAAACAGAAAGAAGAGGAGCGAAAAAAGTTAGAAGAACTAGAGAAACAGAGGCAACAGCGAATGCTAGCAGAAGATTCTGTATCTAATGTTGCAAAACCCAAGGTTAATCACAGGTTAGTACAATTTGTTAAGACAGAAATAGTGAGATTTATACGCCTCTCTATTGTTGTCACCGATACCCTTCTTCTGTCCTAGACTCCAACAAAAATTGTGGAGTTTATATTTCCCTTTATTATCATATATTACAATATATAATTATATTTATTTGTCCTACCTTATTAGGTCTGCTGACGATTTAGATGACAATTTTGCACTAAATGATGAGGAAGAAATAATGTTGGCATATGATAAGGATGGCAAACCACTGTTACCTGATCATATACTAAAAGATTATAACGGTAATTATCGTCAGCTAATTTACTTCTTTTTTTTCTGATTGAACACAGTTTCTTCATTGAATTTACCTTTTATATCATTGATTCAAATTACGTTTTAGTGCCAAATGCAAAGAAAAAATTCGACGAGGGAATATCAGATACGTCATCTGAAGATGATACTGAAGACAGTGATGATGATGAGGTTGGAAGCGAAAATGGTGATGAAGTAAATGATACGGCTAGTAGTGGGGATGAAGATACAGAATCCGAAAGTGCTGATGTTGGCAACAAAGATAGTATAGATATTGTACATGAATTAAATAAAACTAATGAGAGTTTAAAAACTTTGTTTAAAAACAATGAACTTAAAAGTGAAAGTACTAATAGCGACGAAAATGAAAATGACAGTCCTATTGTCAACCGCAAACGTAAAGCAAATAAAGTATCTGAAGTAGAAACCAAAAAAGTAAAAGTATCTAGTGAAAGCGGTGATGAGATTCTCGAAAATCACATCAATGAAAACAATGAAAATGTTCAAAAGGAGAAGACTAAGATAGATTCAGATTCTCCAAGTGACTCGAAAAGCGAGAGTGATTGTGATGGCAATGATGATGGTGATGTAGACTTGTGTGACGACGAAATTGGGTCTATTTTTGAAATTAAATCTGCTGAAGGTGATAAACTAAGGGTACGTTTTGATTGCTCTTAATTTAATTCTGCCTTTATTTTTTATTACATCAAGTATGTAATGATTTATTATATACTTGTGAATTTACTTACGTCCTGATATTAATAAAATTTAAATAAACATGTCAATATAGCCGACTCCCTTCGCCGTCTTACCATTAATAAGCCGCACTTTTTTTCAGGAATTATTGACAGGGAAAACACCGTCACAGCAATCGACTGCGTTATCCAAATTAATAAAAAGTTATGATCCCAGTTTATCAGCCAATAACAAAGATATATTGAGCCGTTTATTTGCACATTTACTCCAATACATTCACGACATATTTAGCGATTCAAAGGACGAAGGAAATGTTATAAAGACCTTTCTAATATTCGACAAATTAGCTCCGTACTTCTACGATTTAATACACATCAACAAAGTGTCCACTAGGAAATTTATTGTGGAACTATTAAAGGAAAAGTACGACCAATTCAAGCGTAACCCCAGAGTAGTCCCCGATCTAAACACCTTGATATTCTTTAAACTAGTCTCCCTATTGTACCCCACTTCTGATTTCCGACACCCGGTCACTACTCCGACTTTAGTTTTTATGACTGAGATTTTGAGAACTTGTCATTTTAGAGATGCATACTCGGTGTCGAGAGGCTTCTTCGTGTTGACGATGATACTAGAATTCACTGTTTTGTCGAAACGCTTTGTGCCGGGCGCGCTAAATTTTCTGAGAGGCATCTTCTATTTATCGGCAAATACCTCTTTATTGAATTCAATTCAACTAGTCCCCCCTTTCCGTCTACACAAGGACGCCAAAATTCTGTGTTTAGATCGAGATTGTTCCAAAATGGAGGTCGACGAAAAAATGGCGGCAAAGGATTTAGTTGTTAACGAAATCGATGACGGCTTTAAAATTAAAGTTGTGTGCAATTCAGTTAAGATATTGAGGGAATTTTTCGAGAATTATTCCGATCTCGAGTCGTCAGAAGCGATATTTGAGCCCCATATACAGTTATTGGGAAGGATAGATCTAGAATTGTACCCAAAGAAGGTGGCCGTTAAAATCGAGAAGGTTCTGCAACACATGAGAGAGTCACTCGAAACAAAGACGTATACACCTTTGGCTAGAGAGAAGCCGAGACCGAAAGCGTTGAGATTGTACGAACCGGACATACAGGAAGTGTAAGCAAATTCTTTCAGATTATATATTTCTTAAACTAGTCTTGATATTCGATTGAGTTCTTAATAAAGAACATAATATTCGATTAGATTATCCAAACAATAATTGATACAAGGAGTGATAAAGCACATTTCATATTATGCCAGTAAATAGAATTATTGTTTAATAAAAATATTGTTGTCCACAGGTTTACTGGTAGTAAGTCGTCAAAACTGTCCCGAGAAGCAGCAGAGACGGCGAGACTTCAGAGCAAATATAAGAAAGAAATGAAGGGAGCCCTGAGAGAGATCAGGCGGGATAAGGCATATATAGCGGCCGTCAAGATACGACAGAAGATACAGAGGTAAGAAACAGTTTTTTCTTATCTCACATACGTGTTACTGGCACTATTAGGTAAAATTTATTAAACAGTAGGTAATACATTTAAGCATCTAAGTGATGAGCAAAACATAATATGTTTTTCTTTTCTAGTGACAACGTAAGAAAAGAGAAAGTGAAACAGATCTACAAGGATGCAGCGATACAGCAAAGTGAACTAAATAAGTTAAAGCGAATGAAATGATCCCAAACATTGACATAATAAACCTTTAAATATTTTTGCTATTTTCATTAATGACCAGTTGGCTGTTGGTCAATTTCAATATAATCATATTTAATGTTGTACATTAGATTCTCGCCAGGCCCAACGCGATTTAAAAACGTTTCATGACTTTTCTAAAATATGTTAAAGAATGCATTGTTTATGTGGTACATAAATAACGCGTTGAAGGATGTTGATTTGTTTTCGTGCTCGCAATTAACGTATATATAAGTAAGAAAAGTACCTAACCTCGAATACTAACCGGGCGTTTGGGCGAGCGCACCAGCGCTCGCCGTGTTTGCGGCTAGACCAAGGGTGCCCGAGGGGGGCATCGGCCTCGGCTTGGACCGCCGCAATGCGGGTGGGAGCTTGAGGAGCTGAACGGAAACTCACTCGGGTGAGAGGTACGCGTAGCAAATGACCTCGTAAAAGAATACGGTTTTTGTTATATTGTAGAGGACACTGTTACTCGCCTCAAAGCTTTTTAAAATTTTAACTCAAATGTTCTCAGAGACACTTGTAAAGGTACTGTCTCTGAGTACATGCCTGCATACATTTGGATTTTTATACATTTTTTTTCCTAGACAATAAGAATATTCGTTTCAAGTTATCATAAGAGACAGTACTGTTTAGTTTTCTTAGTAAATAAATAAATAAATTAGAAGAAGAACAATAGGTGAAATATATAGAATCCAGTTCATTTACAGAATATTGATTATATGATAATTCCTGAAGCCACATACAGCTAGGGTATTCCATCTTGTATCTCTTATTGCTAAGTAATATATGCAATTAAATGACCAGTTTTATTATAAACAATGACAGTATATGATACCATTTAACATCAATATGAAATATAAATTAAATACCTTGTATTTTTCCAAAACCTTATAGAATAGATAACAATCATCCTATTAAATAAGCATATAAACGTCTTAAAATTTCAGGTAACTATCACATTTTCTTATCTTAAAACGCACAAGTGCAGAATCGGCAAACTAAAAAGTATTTCTTATCTTCAGTATATGCATACATACTTTGAGATAAAACCAATTTGTACTTACAATATATTTGTACTGTAGTATATAATATTTTCGAAAATCTGCTATAGAGATAGAATTACTTCACACTTGCTGTAATATTTGCGCCTTTTTGGCATAGATACTTATCATATATAATACTTAATCATCTTTATTGTTAGGGTCTTTAGGTACATCGGGATTCAACTTCCAGATTGTGTAGTTAAGGAAGGAGGCAAATGTGAGCCAGCACATGTATGGGGCCATAAAGTAAAGAGTTTTCTTGTTCACATTGAAAAAACTTATGGTACATGCTCCTGCAGCAACATCCAGAGCTATCATGTGGATGAACGCCTGTAAAATAATTTAGCATTTTAAAATTATGGTAGCTAAACTGAAAAGCATGTCTAGATATTTCATTTCTTTTAAAATTAAAAAAAAATCTGCTTCTAATTTTTTTTGGGAATGTTTAAATAAATGCAAATATCCCCAAATATGTTGTAATAAACTTTGCTGATGGGCTTAGACACCTAACTAAAAGACATAAATACAGAAATGTAAAATCTTAATTTAAATAAAAGCGGTTTATTTATTTTAAATAGAAAGAAAAAGATGCATTGCAAGAATATAAAACATTAATATTGCAAAAAGTTTTACAATAAAATTATACAAGTACTTTGTATTTTAAATACTGTCTATAGTTTGCGCGAGTAGTTTTAGAAGTGTTTTATTTAAATACTTTGTATTTTAATTAAGCAATATTTCACACTTCTATAAATGTGCTCAAGGTAAAGAGATGTTATAACTTATACCAGTGACTGAGTAAACATGACATAAGCACACAGTACAAAGGTTATATTTACCAATCCAATTTTGTGGAACTTGAAGAAGATCGGCGACCATGTCCAGTTGAAAATAAGTTGTGTTCCAAATAAACTTAGAGGTACCAATGCATTCTCTGAAATAAGTTAACATAATTAGATAAGTTACAACCAAACAAATAATATATTTGTTACTTGAACATTTTTATTATTTTCAAAAAGGTTGTAAAAATATATGATAAACCTATATTATCCGAAAAATTGACATTAACAATATGTATTAAAAATAATCCAGTTTTGAAATCACATAAAATTTTTCCTGCATTCTCAAGTGATAACATGATAAATTTTCCATTTGTGAAGTTTTACTCAGTATAGTTTTTTATAAGTGAAAATGTACCTGTAAAACCTCCACAATCTTCATAGACAATGTATGAGGCGTAGCCCATTCCTGTATACAGGACAGTCCATGCTGGTCCAAACACCCACTTTGGAGGGTTCCATGTTGGCTTTTTTAGATGGTCATACCAAGCTTTGCCACTAGGGCTTCGAACTTGACCAGCCATAGTCAGAGCACTCGCCCATCCCCCAACATTTGGTATGGCAAGAGCTTTAACAAGAGTCCAGTCAATCATTTTGTTCTTTGTCTGAAACCAGATAATTATTAAATTTGGAAGTTTTGTACCAAATCTTCAAGAGTTCACGAAACACTGAGTTACTAAGGAGTCAACTTATCAACACTCGATAGATAGTGATATCTTGAGTTCTAGACTGATCTAAACGTAACTTTTGAATCATGATACTATAGTTGACATAATAATTTTATATTACGCGTATATGGTAATTTAACAAAGTAATGCCGGCAGCAACATAGCAAACTACGAAGTTATAAGAAATATCATAGTAAATAATATTAAAAATAAATTAACATTTTATATAAGTCAGCGATATAGACAAAGAATATTCGTGAGTATTAGTATAAAAGACTGGTTTTTAGTTAATAATAGTTACAATATTATGTTGTTTTTACAATTCACTAAATCATGGGACGTTCGCCTAAAAAAGATATTTTGGATTTATTAAACTGTATTTGACGAAATAGCAAGAAAACTTTTTATCGAAATTTAGTACATATTATTATGCATCTTTATACCCACCGCCGTAACGATGTTAATGGTTTAAGCTATTATTAACGAGGGATTAAAACGTTATACTTGAAAAATATAACGATATATTTAGTTACTTTATTGTTTATTAGCGTATTAGTTAAATGCATATTTAAATATAATGTTTCTTGTCATTCGAATATCCCTTGTTTGTTAGTTCCGTATAATTTATTTGAAAACGTTATTTAATTAGATCTTTGTTTCATTAAATTATTTAAACTGTCTCAATTATTTACATTAAATTTAAATCAAAATTTTAAATTGTAAGTTTTTCATTTTTAGGCTCGAAAATTTTGAGCAAAGTTATTGCAATCGCTTTTGACTGATTAAAAACAATACTAAATAGTAAATTGGCAAAAGGGCTTTATACAAAGATTCTATCAATTGTTACACAAGTAAGATAATTGCTGATAATCATATTTGCTTATTATAAAAAGCAATGCTTTGTTATTTGCTTCATTAAAACGCTCACCGGCTCACCACTATCTACTACCTTTCTTCCCACAGATAATACAAATTACAAATAATCTAAAATAATTTGACAGAATTAAAAGTCCACTAAATGACAGTGACAGATTATGAAAATGTTCTTTTATTATCCGACCAAATAATAATGGCTATCTATTACATAGTACTTAGATTCCACTTGTATTGTAAACATATAACCTTCTGTAATGAATTGCATAATAATCATTTGGTGCTAAGCATATAGGTAGGTAGATAAATAGTAAAACTTAAACCGCTTTTCATGATTTCTATTTTCTATTCATAATTTCACTGTTCAGTGAAATCACAGGCCGTGAGATAATTTACTCTATCTTTTTACCGAGTGTAAGTTACAATTGAATTGTTCTTAATCCACTTTATTGCCGGTGCATAACATTCGCCGATATACTATAATAGAGCTCCATATATTATTTACACTGTGTAAAGTACAGTAATTCCAATTCCGCTCGCGTGATCTCACTATTATTTCACCTTAAAATCTGACGGTTACATCATCGGTTCAAACTAGCAATATTTTAATTCAAATACGTTGCGTTGAGGAAATTGGTACGTAGTAACTGTTTAAGGTCACTGTATTAACTGAATATAATTGGTGGATCAAAATAATTATAATTAATTATCATATCTATTTCATTTGGTCATTATACGATTAGATGACAATTAGTTAGACGTGAACATCTAGTAGTGTGTATGTGTATATAGTTAAGTAAATTATTCATAAAATATGGATTTACAGCCTTATGTAGAACATGTCAGGTATTCTTATTTTTAATATTATAAATATATTACTTTAAACTCAAATGACTAATGGTTTATTAAATCAGCCTAGGGGGAAATTTATGACAAACTATTTGAAATGTTTCACACACATGCTTATTAGATACTTGCTTTATCCTGTAGGTTAATTTCCCTACATAACATAATATGCGAGCCATGTACAAGTTAGTCATACTATTATACTGATGCTATTATGTAAGATATTTTTATATTAAAGAAACTAACTATCAGAATAGTATGATAGAAAATATGGTTTATAAGTAATACTGAAAACTGTTTTTTTTATATCTAATGCTATATATAGGTAATTCTAGCTTTCTGTATAAACTTCTTTCATTCCATTAATAAGTAACAACAGTACAAGTTTTAGACAAAACTAGATATTGTACAGGAACGAATATAATTTGCAACCAACCAATATTCCTTGATGATGTGTTTATGACAGTTAGCATCAATAAGAATTTCTATATAGTATTTTATAGTTGGTAAAGAGAATTAGATGAGCAATACGGTGAGTGAGGATTAAATGCTTTATTAATTGAAATATTTGTCACAGTGAAACATTGAAAATGGCAAACTGGGCAGCACTAGGATCAGTCATTCTCCCCAATGTTGGCGGTTGGGCTAACGGCATATACTTTGCTGGACAAATTCGTAAGGGGGACAAATCTTGGTATGATGAGCTGAAGAAACCTTGCTGGAATCCACCAAAGTGGGTGTTTGGACCTACATGGACTGTCTTATACAGTGGAATGGGATATGCTTCCTATTTAGTGTATGAAGAGTGTGGTGGTTTCACTGGTAAGTTCTTATTAGAAAAGTAGAAGTAGTTGCACGCATAAATATTTTGTTAGTGTGCTTATTGAAACAGGAGTTAAAATAAAACAGTTTTGCCCTTTTGAAAAAGAAATAATAAATACTAAAAATCTCCTTATGTAACACTTGATAGTAGATAAAAATGCTGAATAATCAATCAAAATATTAGAATGATAAGGTTTTAGATGTAAATAAATGTGCCTTGAATTTTTTAGTTGGTATTGTAGAATTAAGAAAACAGAGTCAAAATTTTTAGACCTACACTCAACTGTTTATTAAAATTTTGTTTGTTTAAAAAGTTTATTTCTATATTAATATCTCTTTGTGTAGGAAAGATAACAATACTAACTAAAAGGTGATTCTTGAAATGTAATCATCAAAAAGTAACCTATAAACAAGGTGTTTTATAATTTTTTAGAAGATGCAGTACTTCCTCTGACACTTTATGGAGGTCAGCTGTTGCTCAATTGGGCTTGGACGCCAATATTCTTTGGACTAAAGGACTTCAAGATGGTGAGTTGGTTTGTTAAATGAATGAGAGACACTTTAGGCTCTTAGCCAGTCTATTTCATGCGATATTTATGTGCTATGAAGTTGCTATATGTTATAACTCTGCAAATCTTTGTGATTTCAGGCATTCATAGAAATCTCTGTGCTGGGTGGTGCCGCTGTAGCCACCACAGTCGCCTTCGGTCAAGTGAATAAGACAGCAGGAGCACTGATGCTGCCTTACCTTGCTTGGTTGGCGTACGCTAGCACACTGAGTTACTACATCTGGAAGAACAATCCTCAGCCCGAAATCAAAGATGAGAAGGCTCAGTAGAAGTAAGTGTAATTAAAAACGTAGAAATCTTTCTATTAAAGATAAGAAAAACAAAATAATCAGTAAAACATGCAAATGATGTAATTTTGAGCATTGTATTTTTTATGGTATATACCTACCTAATATTAAAATGGTTTATTTAATAATATACCTTGCCAATCTAGTTCAGCCTAGAAGCAGTAGCTTTATGTACATTTTTTATTTTGTTCATATATGTGTCTTTTTGTGTACATTTTACATTTATAGTTCAAAGCACTCAAAACGAATGTTTATCAAACCAATTATTTTTTCAGGTACATTTGAAATCACACAAATAATTTCTAAGTGTTTAAATAGTCTAATGGAAAAATCACTTTTACTGTGAATGTGTTAAATGTGGCTTAAAAATCTAAGTACAATATTTCTCTGTTCTTTAAATATGCATATTATACTATAAACCTGTGTTTATTTGATCTAAGATTAAATAATATGTCCAAAGGTCATGGGATACATTTTCCGTTTTTTTAATATGAATCGTACATTTAACTCTAGATCAAAGGAGTCATCTTAATAAAGTGTGTTTTGGTTGTGAGTAAGTAGCATAAGTATAAGTGTCCTTTCAAATATTGCATTTAATCAAAGTATTCCACATGTCTTGGACTAAGCTAAATATTTTTATTACTTTCTTTGTAAAAGCGTTTTATTTTCGAAAGTATTTATTGTATATGTTAGCTAATAAATGTTTAAATATAGTTTTGTGTTTTATTTGATATGACGCACAAATCAGTGTTTATCATACACTCACAATATGTGTGGATTATATGCCGCCAAAATAAAATTTACCTTGCACACCTTTTCCCCATTTCTTTTTGTGGAATAATGTGGAAACTGCATGAAATTTGTGAAATAAGGCTATAAGGACTATAATGAATATAAAAATTGCTAAGATTTCGTACTAGGCAATGGTAAACCCTAATATTAGATAATACTAATTATGAGGTACATTTATGTATATTATGTACAGTGAAACCATGCATGTATATAGAAATATATTTATCATTTAGTAACATACTATATTAGACATTTTAATATCATAGTCTTGTTTCTATGATTTAATCATATTTTTTTATTTGATATGACCTGTGAATACCAACTACCCACTAGTTAGTACAAGTACCAAAAACAAATTCACATAATATGGCCCTGTGAGCCAGTCAATTTCTGCTGAATAATGAATATGAAGATAGATATGCCAGAGGCAGAAATCCTATAAAAGGGCTATTAACCGTTAAGTCTATATTAATTAAACTTCATTAACAAGGCTTAAAAGTCACAAGGCGTGTCAGACAAGAGATTATTTACAAGTTAAATCGAGTAAGTTTCATGCACGAACACTTTGATCTTTCATCGATAACTCGAGTACAGATCTCTTGCGCTACAAGCTCTCTTCGCTATCTCGATTTCAACTTAGTATCTTCTTTCTTTCTTCGTTAACAAAACTTAACTATCGAAGTGCCGTTCTCTTGAAAAGAATGCTCAGTACATTTTCCGCGTTTTATCGGAATAGTACTGGAAGTTTTTCCTAATAACGATGAATTAATATTATAATATAATATTGAAATTATAGATATGTCCATCTAGGACGTGCTTATTAAGCAAATTAGTGTTAGTGCTAATAGATGCCCTTGTATACCTACTACGTGGAACCCCGTTTCCTTGTGAATGTCATGCTACATTTACAAGGTAATTATCAAACATCAGAATTGTTTGGTCGGACAGGACATTCTAAGCCCTATCCGATTTAATGTCGTCCCGGGCTTCAAAAGCCGGACTCTAGTACTTTAAGTACTAAGTAATCCTGCGCAACGGTCATCCAACGGAGGCGGTTTTTAACTTATAGAATAAGTATTTTTAAAGTAGTAGGGCCACGATACGAGGTATGTATTCCGCTAGTGTATATATTACATATGGCGGTAGAATCCAGAAAGCATATCATAACATCAAACGGACATAACTTCTAGAACATGTTCCGAGTCGTCCACATAACATTTCATGTTTAGTAAGCACGCGCACAGAGACAGATGTAATATTGAAAGCTATTTTCATTATTTCAACTTTTAATTATGTCACATGCACTACACAATAAAGTTAATCTTTGTTGAGGGCTTGAGTTACTTTCAATCCCTCACTATACTTAACAATATATCTTGAATCTATAATAATAGGTATATAAAGCTATAGGCTATAAAGCATCACGATACGATCAATAGGAGCCAATGAACAGTGGGAAATGTCAAAAAAAAAACGGGGAAAATATTAATGTTTAAAGGCTTCGGTTGCGTGCGCTGCGAAAACGCTTTAAGAATAAATAAGAGAGAATCCTTAATTAATGATCTCAAAAATTTCGATACTATATGCCTACCCAACGTCTGTCGCTATATATTATAAAGATGAGGAGGTGGTTTGCAAAAACAAACTTTGATGGTCAAAAAAACTATTCTTCGCGGACGAAGTCGCTGATACAGCTAGTCTAATATATTTTTTGTTTCGTGGATATTCTCGCGTTTAGCGCTTTTTTATCGTTTCATATAGCTCGTAGTGAAACACCTGCCTAAAAAGCCAAAATCCAGCGAATGTGAATGTCGACATGCTCTGTGCATATTGTCCGATGCGCAATATGTCAATGTTTCCGGCATTATTCGAGTAGATACATATGGCCGTCCTTTAAATCGTGCGAAATAGATAGTACCTATATAATCTATGTTATCTTACGAGCCATTAACAAATGTTTACTTATGACGATTCCTACCGATTTTAAATCCACCTTTTGTAACTAAATTGTAAGCAACACTGGAACTACTGAGTTTATGCAAACAACTAATAGTTGAATACTGTCTTTAGTTTAATCGAGTAGTACACACTTAAATAAAACACTTCAACGGTTTAAAACGCGATTTATTTTAGTTAAACTTGCTTGAAAATTATTTGTTTTAAACCTACCAAATGTACTGTCCCGCTACAAGATACAGGCGTTTGCAGACTGGACTGTGATTGTGGCCTATCCTATATTGGTCAAATAAAGCTTAGTGTATCGAACAGAATTGAGGAACACATCGCGGATATAAAACATAAACGTCTCACCAATTCTGCGGTATGCTAACACTCATCTGAAATTAAAAAACACAGAAATGTCAATAGGGAGGACGGCCGCAAATTATCAAACAACCCAGGTGTTAATTTGATGCCACACAGTGAGTCAATTCTGCAAGGACCCGGCCAGTTTCGCTAAATACCAACGTCGATGGCACAGATGGCGTTAGCGTAGCAATAATTACTTTAACGTCAGAGACATCCTCCATCTTTAGTCTCCCCGTGATCACGGCTGCTCCAAAGCATCCAATATCCCGTCGGGTCGTCATTAAAAATAATTTTTAAACAAGTTTTACTAAAATATGGCGTTTTAAACCATTAAAGTGTTTTATTTAAACTAATAGTTGTTTTTAAACATAGCTTACCAAAAACAATAGAAATAAGTAAATCTTCCGCTATAGTTAAAAACCTAAACTATGTTTAAAAATTAGTGCAATTCTGCATCACTTAAAAGTCTATTAATATCACTGTTAATTGTTAGTAGTAGAGGTGCTCGCACAATAAATTGAAATACATATTTCCACAGACCGCAAACACGGAGTTTCGATTTATTTCGACCAAAATGGCGAATGCGCTAATAGTTACCACATTCATGTAATTAGCTTGTATTCTGTAACTAATTTAAGACTTCATATTGCATTTACTACAAATTGATATTAAATTATTTAACCAACTTCTAAAAGTAAGTTTAAAGCACGAAGTAGTTCCCCAATGAGAAACATTGTCGTCGCTGTTAGGGATGCTATCTTCAACCCTGTATATTTGCTCGTAGTAAATACGATTAAAAGTTTTCACGTGCAATTTTCGTTCTGTCACACACACAGAGTAATTGAAATCATTCGAAGCCTGCGGGCAGTGGTTAATGAGTCAGCGTAATGCGACTCAAACTTATCGTGCCTTGTTTCCTTCAGATGTTGCTGAGATTGCTGCTCTCTAAAAAATTTATGATTGTCTCTTAGCTCATCAGTGTAAGAGTGGGATGCATAAGAACTCTTTGCTACTATAAACTTTTTAAGATGAAGAACTGCGTTGTCAGCTGTGCGTGGTGCCGAGAGACTTGCATTTATCCAAGCCAAATACGTTGGCTTGGATAAATGCAAGTCTCTCGTCACCACGGCTCCAACAAAGCATCCGAAACATCGAGCCGTAGTTAATTAAAATAATTTTAAAATAAGTTTAACTAATATATTTCGCATTTTAAACCGTTAAACTGTTTTATATGCAAGTTCGTTTTCTTTCGGCGAGGAGTAAAAGTAAGACGAATATGGTACTACATATTTTCATCGATCATCTTGCCATTGATAATATGCACAGACTTATATCTGATATTTTCTTTTGACCTTTTTTGCACCGTATCTTTTCTGTCTAGTGTCTACTACACTTGTCTACAAATCAGTTTGAATCTCTAAAAACCAGTTGTGATATAAGATTATCACAATAATTGAAATGCAGTCGGCAAGCCAGAAATAATCGTATTAAAATAAGTAGGCGTTTCGCCATCTCCAGCCACGAAAGACACTAACACCATTAAAAGTTGAGTCAAAAGTTCCGCGGAATGCAATGGACAGACGTATCTTAATGTCATCTAATTGAATGGATTATGGAAATAGTTCGAGTTGCATAATTAGAGTTGGAGACAGTTCGGAATTAGCCAAGTGACTGAAACTGCGGATAAGGGGGAATTCCAACTTTTGCTTCCTTTCTACTGAATCGTATGAGGATAACTAAGAATTACTTTGTCTTAAGTATGTCAGAGGTCGAAGTTACACCAAAACTAATGTATCTATCGTTCTCTACTAGTGTTATAATGTCTACCTTTTTTGTTTGTCACAAATTTAAGCAGCCAAAGTAGCCAAAGCCAAAGAGGCAGAGTAGCTTAACTGCAATTTTATGACTTGAGTTTTTTATATTTTCATAGGCTAATGGTAACATAATTCCTATAGAAATAATTATTTTCGCCTAAGTTAATTTTTATTGGAAATCATGTTGTTATTGGCCACTCTGCCTCTAGCAACCTTAATTATGCTAGGATGTATTTTGAAGTTGACTGCATTAAAAGCTAAAACGAATATTAGAGCTAGATGTCATTAAAAAAATTAAGTTTCTGCTAAGCAATCTCGAATACATCTGAGACCAGGGTTCAGTTGTAGTGACTCATGCTATAGTCACGCTGACGACGCGGTAACTTTTTTAATCTTAATCCTTCAAGGATGCCCCACTTGTCGCCGATCTTGACGATTAAAAGCCGGTGTCTCCAATTTTTGAGAAAATCGGGATTCTTCGTAGAATCACTTTCAATTATTGATGGCAGTTGAGAAATTCATGTGTAAAGACAAGAAAGATTAATTTTCTTAATATTTGATAATAAACAATAAAAAGTGGATAACAAAGTATCGCAGTAAAATAAAATAATAAATTTATTCATAATTAAAATGTATACACAAATAACTAAAAAGTGAACAACACACAAAATAAATACTCGTTCGAATTTATTATATATTATAGATTGCTATGTTCTAGTTAAATTTATTTAAGAAATACTCCACCTTTTTTCAAATGACTGAGACATAAGTTAGGACTGTTTTATCCGAGATTTTCATGGACGATGGCCAACGCACGCTCAACACTCGAAGCGCTAAGTCGAATTGAAAGTTTGCCACTTAAGCACAGAGATTTCTCGAATGTTTTGACGAAAGTGACCTCTTCAACAATACGCTTTTTGAGAATCGCCTTCAAACGAAATAGACGCAATTACGGAATCTGATTAGCCTAAAATCTTAAGCATTTAATTAAAATGCTTGATTAAACGGAAACTTTTTAATAGGGTTAGAGTTATAAGCTCTTTTAGCCTAACGTACGGTGCCTACTTAGATTTTTTTTCTAAGTGACACGTGTGCCCATTTGACATTTCAAATTAACAATTACATAGTTTTGACTTATCTTTAAATCTAGCTAACGTCAAGAGTTGGTTAGAGCAACAGCACAGAATACTGTGGATGCCGGTTCATAGCAGATTTTTAATTGATATAGTGCAATCATGTGCAATAACGTGTGAAAAATATTAAAGTTTTTTTTTTATTCGTATACATATATGTATTCTAGTAAGTAATAATAGATTATAATGCAAAAACACGTTTTTTTTATTATAAGAAGAAGCAAATTCTAATGCTTTATATTTCCTTTCACAAAACCATATTATGTTATTAATGTATTTTGAAATTTCAAATAAATACTGAATATTTACTAGACAAGAGAACATTACTCTGACCTCGCATTGCCCATAATAATTTGATGACAGCAATGATCGTGTCATCATCAGCGTTAATTTCCATAATAATAAAATAAAATTGGGAAGAGACGTAATTATTATTCCATTACCATGAGGTCTATTTGACCCAGCTTTCAACTAATGACCATTAGTTCAAAGCTGTGTCGTGGTATGTATAAAAATATATGCGATAGGTCAGTGGCGAAAAGTTTTCTCTATCGGTCTAATGGTAGCAATGTGTGCCTAATCATCACCTGGTCCAACACGATTCTCATCTGTTTATATTTTTTGTGAAACATGTTGGACGTCGTTTGGAAATTAAATGAGTGGTAGGAATATCGAGAATTCCGTTCAAATCACGAACCACCGTCCACACATGAAAAAGCCGTGAAGCGTAATCGTGATCTGCGGATTTCCGAACATGCAGAGCCAGAATAGCTTGACAGTATAATAATAATATCGTACAAAGTAAACTTAGTACAATATTATTATTTAGTATTACTTTGCGGCGCTTAAAGGAAAGAAGATCCTCGGTTTAAATTCGTGTATCATCTTGAAACACACATTTTAGCAAAATGTTGAATATGGCTCCGATGGGAGAAGTGGGAAGGTTACGCCGGATTATAGGCAGCGTAGACTTCCTAAACATTAAACGCCGGGTAGTCTATATTAATGAAAGGAAAGTTAATTAAAATCAAATGAACGGCAGGCGGAAATTCGCGAAAAGCGTCAGTAATAGTGATTAGGTTAGAATTAAATCGTCCCTCTTATTGAATTTGTTAATATTCATGCCTCGCTATAATTTCTTGAGTACTGTTTAAGACGTTTTACACCAGTTGGGCTGAAAATCTCGTTTTATGGGCACAAAGCTGCCAATGGCCAATTTACTTTACGATTATAATCTTTATTTACTGGGAATCCAGACTGTGGGATAGTTAAGGAGTATGGTAATTATCGCTGCTTTTTTGACAGAAACGTGTTTACCTAACGTAGGTTTCCTTTTAGAAAAAGAAACACGCATCCTCAATGTTCCTCACATTCACAAAGAACATACTCATCTCTTTCTCCGTCGCGTAAAAGTGAAAGCAATATATTGCAAGCATCGCCACGCCTTATTTATCGTTGACAAAGGTCGAGGTTGTATTACATCAAGTTCAGGGTGAAGTGTTCATTTTATTTGCTATAAATCTTATACATGCTTCTCCAATATATACACTTGATACTATAGTTTAGTTTTTCTAACTTACAATGTAAAGTTTATCGGTTTTATTCTTGTTTACAACTACAAACTTGTAATATACTGCAATACATGGTTCGATTACTTGACTCGAGTATTAAACCAAGTAACAACATCCACCGAATGCAAGACATATTGCAAATGCTTAATGCACCATCTATCAACAGCTTGTAAACGGCTAAATGGCTGCACAAACATGCATCGCGGTCACAATTCACGAGAAAAAGCGGGTAGCTTTCTTTCGTAAGTACTCATTTTTTTACTGTTTAAAACGCAATGGTAGTTGTAGAGTATTTCAAAATTAAATGAATCAATAATATAGTCAACCTTTTAAACTACTAAAAGTTATAATAATTGATGTTTTTTATTTAACATTAACTGGTCAATATATTGGAATATACTTAAGTTGAACTTACATAGTAAGTAGTGATTACTACTATGAAGAATTTAAAGTAATTTTGCACTAGTTATTTATTTGAAGATTTGAAAATATTAGTTTTACACTGTAGCTTAAATACTTAGCCTTTAGTACTTCGTATATTTTCTAAACGCAAGGTTTTGTGATGGTTTCTGAACTAACAAGCACAAATACTTAGTAACGTAACGTAAAAAGATTTAGCGATCAATGGTAGAAACGGTGTTCCCGCTACCCGCTCCGCTCGTAAATGCGCGTAGAGCGGAAGTAGTCGCGCGATGTCAAGCGGATGTCCGCTTGCACGACGCGCCGCCATTAGTTGTGCCAACTTTGCGTTAGCTATTTTAAATATTTTAATTTATATCACTAGTGTAATAGACAATATTTAAGCATGAGTATGTGTGTTGAATCTTAACAATTACGACTAAAATGTTATATATATTGTTGTTGGTGGGTGAAAGAGCTTTTAAAATTCAAGCCAACGACGACCAAAGGTTCGAACTCAGTTATTTTTTGTGGCCCTTCTAAAAGTAATTTGAGTGTCTAATTGTTATGAGGCAATTGGGATATAAACGTCGGCTGTTCCTAAATCCCGGGCGCGAATTATTCGTCCTTTATAAAAATAGACCGAAAGGCAGTGCTTGATCGCTCAAAGGAAATAGTTTTATTTCAATCGTTATAAAAGTCAACAGACTAATGTTTGCCGACTAAAAAACTGTAACATACATTGTAGGTTTTAAACTTCAGTCCTTTGTAGCGAAAAGTCAGGGCGCTTTGTCGCTCCGAGCTTTAGAATAGTTTATGTATATTTTGCCTTTGGCACTGTGAAAAGTTTCAAACGGAAATATTTTTGTCTTAGGCGAGTTGAGTTTGCTTATTTCGTGTAGTTTGATGTGCTCGTTTGCAACTTTGTTGGGATGTTTATCTTTATGCTAGGAAACGGAAATGTTCGTTTGAAGGTGAACCCTTAAAGTCCAGCATTCAAATTATACATATATCTATGTTGTAGCCGTCTCGCCGTGACTACCGCTGCTGCAAAGCATACGAAACGTCGGGCCGTAGTTAATATAATTTTTTAATTAGTTTAACTAATATATATCGCGTTTTAAACCGTTAGTGTTTTATTTAAATGAGCAAGTAGTTTCTAAGATTAAGTGTTTACAGATACAAACAAAGTATGCAGGTTTAAAGCTTAAAGGCGTAAGTGGCGACAACTAAATTTTAACTCGAACGTTTATTCAACATCTCAAAAAATGTTTCTTCTCAATTAAATCCAATAATACCACCATCAGTGTTGTAGATATCGTCTGGCCAATATATTTCTACTCTGCGGAACGCGACAGTCCGACAGCTGATGGATCCTGTCACTCCTCTCGAAGGCAGGGTCTTCCGATAATTCCTGTAATGCCTCTAGAGCCATAGCATTGGTGAACGGGACTTCCAACGTTTCTGTTACTCGAGATAGCCAGCGGGCTTCGACGCAGCTGGAATCATTATAAAGAGTCAATGTGATCGACAAAAATGTGTTAACGAAATTTAAAAAATCTTAATATGTGTAATGATGGAAACGCGTTTATTTTTGTTATATACTTCTCACTTATATTAAATAAGAACATTCTTTTTCCTCTTTACTGTTTTTGTCTTTACAAAATAATGCATGCTAATAAACCGAAGTGTAAATATAAAAACATAGTAACAAATAGTTACTTGTCGTTCTGTTTGCTATACAATATAATATATACGGTATTTTGTTAAGTTTTGCATGGGATATATTTATAATTTACTGAAGTCTATTTGATAAAAAACAGCGTGAATTTTTTGCCTGCATTAGGTTGTTTCTCAATTATTCAATGAACTAAATCTTCAAACTAGTTGATAAAATGTAGGTTTACGCTGGGCAAGGATCAGCAGGCACCAGCAACTTGATAGGGATGGTTGGACAGCAGCTCGGAGGCTGAGGGTGGATGGTATACATCTTTAGGCGAGATGAGCTCTTATCTCCCTTCTTTATCATGTGCCTTTCCTGAAAATGACAGCCATTGATGATATTGACCCAAGACAATTACAGGCTGTAGCGGTTTCAACCCTTGTTTACTTTCCCACAAGGGCTTCTTGAAATAAAGAACTAATTTAGTGATAGAAAACTTTCTCGCTCGCTTCTTAAGTTACATTGTGTTAATACTATTCGCTATTAGAACATATATAAGAATAAAAATGTCATAGTCACATACATAATAATAAGTGAGCTGTACATATTCCTTGATTTTTTCAGCAATAAGTCGAAAGGTGAGGTCCAGTTGATGTAGCGACGGGCCTTTGTCTCCCAAAAGGTTCAAATACGGGTCCAAACTGCATTGTGACATGCTGAAATCAGTGTTATTGTTATATTATTACTTTTCGTAGGCGAGACTGAAAATCACAACAAATGTGAGATTAGCACAAAGGAATAAATATTTTTGGCGCGCAGCGGGTGAATAGAGGCGATAAGAACATTTACATAATTCTACCTCCTGTTCACCGTCTTAATGACCCACTTGTTAACGTGCTGCTTTTGTTTTGCGTTTTCGATTTCCGGGGTAAACGTTTGGGGAAGACTTTTGAATTCTCCAAAAGTTATTATAGTCTCCAATGAATATTTTAAGATTGGCTTAGAAATAGTTCCCACAAATGCAATACAGTCTTGTAAAATGAACTGATATTTTTCCGAAGACACAACTAAGCGTCATAATCGCACTATTCCCATGGAGTATCCTATTTTAATTATTTCGTACGTTGAGCAGCATCCTGCCGCTATGAGGGTATTGTGAAAGCAATTTAATATTGTCTAATCGTTTAATCTGCTAGTTGAAGGCGGGATCACACTTCGGAACGGATTCATATTCAATTTAGCGGCACCTATGGACACAGGATTTTATAATTTAACTGAAGGAAAATACAATTCTTGATAAATAAAAGAAGCATTTTAGTATTTGCTGTTCTATGTAAATTAACTATTTGTGTATACATATTCGATGTGCCTCGTTATCATAACTAATTTAATGACTGTAATCCTTTAAGCCCACCAAGTCGGATAGAAACAGCGTGATGGGTCTAAGCACTCCAATCCTCTTTCATATAAGAAAGGACACCTTATATAGCGTGAAATCGAGAATTCGTACTTGAATTTGATCCCCAAAAATTGCACGGTTAGATAAGTACGTACCTACGGTCCTCCTTCACTATAATCCTCTACTGGCTGGAGACTAGTATCCCACTTTAGTTACATTTTCTAAGTATATAAACCCCTTGTTTTATTTCAGAAACTATTCAAAATCCTTCCTAAATATAAAATACATATAATCTACAAAAAATACAATTCAATGTTTGCTACAAGAAGAGAAAGGAAATCGTCTTAAAGTTCAGCAAACGTATTTTACTTTTTACGTAGACTTTCAGTGGAAATTAAACATGAATTCTTGCCAGAAAAAGTCTAATTGATTTATAGAAGTGAGTCGGCCAAGAACCGCCCTTTTCCTTTTAAAAACATAGAATACGAGTTATAATTTGGAATAGTGCTTTAATATTTAATTTAACCCAAATTAGAATTACATTTAGTATTATATTTATAAAAAGTATAGAAATAATTATTAATTTTAATACATTATATGTGGCTGTTGCAGTTACAGAGAGTACCTATTATAGAGATTTTAGTTATAGTTTGGTATTAATACCGTCTGCGTAATAATACTTCTTTTTAGACTTGTTAGAAAATATATATGGCACGCTGATTTTAACGATGAAACACAATTTAAAAATAATATAGCAATAATAAAGTCCAGATGATTTTTTGTAGTTTTTGCAAAGTTTAGTGTTTATTTTACGAAAACTACAGATGTGCAAACTTTTAGTAGCTTATAAAACGAAATAAATTTGTTAAAAAGTGCAGAGCATCGGAAACGTCGCGTCGCAGATAAATTTAAGTTAACGTATATATTTACGCATTAAACCCTTAAAATTGTTTTGTTCAGACAGTTACCAATTTATGTTTATTAGTCTAAGTTATTCAAAATCGCTAGAGTTGTTTTATTGATACATTTTTTGAATCCACGTCCGTCGCGGGGGGAATAAAAAACCGTTTTGTGTCAGCTAGTGTTTCAGCGCCACTTCCGGCGCCTGTTCACCGGAAGTCGGATATTAATCCGGTTACAATTGGATTCAATTAATGAGAGACTCGGGAATAATTAATTTATTGTAGTGATGACGTGCGTCAGCGGTGAGTGACGTCACTAATGGGTGCTTAATTCGATCATGCATATTGTTGACAGCGCGAACATTTCAATTAGTTATTACAACCCGAAGACTATAATTGTATCTAGGTGTAATGTGCCATCCAAATAAAACACTTTAATGGTTTAAAACGCGATATATATTAGTCAAATTTATTTGAAAATCACTTTGACTACGGCCTTACGTTTCGGATGTTTTGCGCCAGCAGTGGTCATGGCGAGACTCTGACGGAGGAGTTAAAATAATTTTCAAATAGTTGGAAAAAAATTCACTATTTCTCCACTATAATTATTAAGCCATAAAATATGCAGATATCTCTACTAAATAATTTTAATATAACAAACTTAGTCCCATGAAATTCTGATTAGACATACCGACAGTCAAATATCTAAAAACTCACTCAAATAGTTCACGAACATTTTCCATAGCTTTATTCAAAACTTCTCCTCTTTCATGGTAGAGATTTCCCTTCTCTTCTGTTCTAGATTTCTGCTCAGCTAATTTCAGTTTCAGTGAATTCAACTTCTTCTGACGTTTTTCCTCCATCATCTCATTCCAGTCTCTTCTGTCTTCTAGAAATTGACTTTTGAATTAGTTTTAAACTTGTACGTAGTTTTAAATTTCACGATCGATTCTACTACGAGGTAAAAATGATAATGTAGAAATAAGTTTACCTATCTCCTGTTGTATGCGCCTGCGATCACGACTCAATACTTCATTTTCAGCGCAAAAATCCGTAAGGAGTTTGTATATGGAGAAGTTCTCTTGTTCCACTCTGTTGAATTCTTCTGCTATCTTATTGACATCGTCTTCTTTTGCATATTCCTAGAAATAATAACATAATATTTGGTTATATAAAAACAATTCTGTACAACTGACAATAGTTGACTTTATCTAAAACACTTAAACACGGTTTAAAACGCGAATTATATATGTTAACTTATTCCGACGTTTCGTATGCTTTGTAGCAGCCATGGTCACGGGGTGGGTGGTAACTCAGTTGACTGATATATATTACACGTTTTGAACTTTAAAAGTATTTTATTTGAAATCGAAGACATTGTCCGTGGCTACTTAAAAACGGGATCACCGCGTAAACAACAGAGTAAATTAATAATTAAATGTATTAACAAATAATTAACTTTTAAATATTTGCTGTGGCTATGGTATGCCTACTGTGATAAACCGAATTTATTCTTACTGTTATATCGCGAATCAAATCCGCGTGTCTGTCAAATTCTTTTTTTAAATCTTCTTCCTCTTTCTGTTTTATCTCTTCCTCGCGCTCCTCCTCCTTTCTGTTAATGCGGATGACGCCTTTCCGCGCCAAAAAGTGGTACAGCTTCATTTCGTGATCAAAGGCTTTTTGAAGATCTCGCATTTCCTAAGTGAAAGAAATAGATCCTACGACATTATATAAATTCGCAGTATTACTATTATTATTGAGTATAGAAAATAAAAGAAAGACGTTGAAGTTATGTACTTATAAGTTATTAAAAAAAAAAACTTGTGCTTTAGAGATTTCCTACATCTTTATGATAATAATTTTGTACAAGCAAATGATTAGCCTACCTTCGGATAAACAGTTATAGATACATTAACTGAACGACTCTAAGTCTGAAAAGCTGTCGTGGCTTTTACGTTTTGAACTGATATAAGTTCACACATTAAACTTTAAAGTCAATACAAAGTTTAAGTTCGTTTTGACACGAACCGCCGAGTCATATCGGCTGTCATCAAACGCAGTGATTGATGACGAAGATAGGTGCACGACGGGGAATTATTTAAAAATTCACAAAACACCAAATTGAGCTGAAGCACGCACGGTTTTTAGGTCCTCAACTAATTACTTTAGTTATTGTGGCTTCGTCAAATGAAAGTTATTTACACTTTTAATCGTTCTAAGAAGGCTCGGGAGTATAATCGAATGTCAATAACTTCTAAATTAATTGTATTTACAGGCTTAGGGAACAAGAAAACTATTTCTTCTTTTTCAACCATATCGTTGGGTTCGATACACAAGGGGTCCAATATTTTCTCGAACAAGTTGGACTTTAAATTATATAAGGCTTTCACCGGCCGAAAAACAATGATATGAAGTTGGACACACACCACACCACAACACCGTTTACCGCTGTCTACAGGTTTAGGCTTTAGAGCAATATGACAATTAGCAAAATAAATATACCTGCACTTGCACCATTTGATCCAAGTTTCCCTTTTCCTGGACGGAGCGCAATTTGGCACACCACTCGTCCCTCTGGTCGTAAGCCAAGGTGGAAGACTCGAAGAGATCCGTGAGGAATTTCTTGCCCCGTTTTAAGGCGTTCAGCATCTTCATCCACGCCTCGTTGAAAATCGCTCTGCATAAGATTATTTTATAGAAGAAAATAAGCATTATGTATATGTACGACAAGTAGTTGAAGTAAAAAAGAGCAACAACAAATTTACATGGAATCGCAGTATTTTAATAATCAATTAAAATAGTATCTAAGTTCTTAATACAAGAGTTAGCACTGGACAGTTTTTGTGTTATTAATATTTCTGTACATAGTTTTTAAAACTCATAACACTACTTCAAAGCTACAACAAACATAGATAGAGCCTTATAGATTATCACGGTCACATGTTCACTCTTAACTTTGGACGTTAAACGTCCATTGTTGATGTTACTAAATGTATTCTCTCACCGATCCTTCAGCATGTGTTCGATCTCCTCTCGTATCTTTTTGTTCTCGCACTGGACGGCGTTGAACCTCAACGTGGCAGTTTCCAACTTGTTCTCGGTGGAAGCCAAGCGATGGTCACTCAGCAGTCGACGTTCTTCTAGCTTAAATAACGATGAATTCAATCTTCACAACTTAAATGGTCGTGACGTTAAATCACGTTTCGTCCACAGTTGATATGGATGTCCAGTGGATGGATTTCGGAATATATAAAGCCAAAATAGGTCCACAGAGCCATCTTGTTTAGATGCTGGGGTATTACACCTCCCATCAAGTGAACGACATGCTTCTCTGTCCTACTCTAACAATAAAACACACTGATGGATACCATTGACATTAATAAATAAAAATATAAAAAATATATGTTTCTCTTACAATTTGTAGGAAATAATAAAAGGTTGTGTTAGGAAATTGGTAAATACAAACTATTCAAATTAGAAGTTAATATTTTACAAACTTGCCAGCATCTACAATTTTTATTATAATGTTTTTTCATATAATTTTTTTCAATGCCATGAAACGTGTTAACGAAAAATTAGGTAGTTGCAACTTGTAATAATCATATAATAGTCGGATGATACGATAAATCATCGGTACGTGAATAACACGAAAATAGTCAAACCATGAGTTGCAGTGCCTTAAATCACAATCATAATAAGGTAGATTTACAACTGTTTTGAACAGTCTGTGCACTTCTGACACAAACATGCTAATTACAAACGCGATGTGTTTTGTACCTTTTTACTATTACTTCAAAGCATGAAAAGTGTTATCTGTAGTTTACGCGAGTATTACAATTTAAATAAAATTTTTAAATTTTAAAACTAAATATATTGGTTATTTTTTAATAAGATTTAAAACGAAAAATGTATGAGTTAAAATTAATTATAATCCCTCGAGACTAAGGCAAAGCATCCGAAACGTTGAGCCGTAGTCAAATGAAATTAAAATTAAATTAACTGATAGGTGTGCGTTTTAAACCGTTAAAGTAATTTATTTTCAAAAAAGTATTTACTTCTTTCTAACGATAGCAGTTTCGAAAATGTGTATCATTTTACAATATCAAACACATAAGCAAAGTTTTTGTGTCCTTTTAAAACTATATTTTATTTTTAGGTAATGAGTTTTTTTTCTACTTTCTTAATGTTTTTCGTTTGTGACATTAAACGTAGCGTAAATTTTTGTATTGACTAACGAGGAAGTGAGTATTCTTTATTTATATTGTGTTAACTCAGTGTAAAGAAAGGCTTTGTATTGCGAAGAATATATAAGTAATATTACCTGGCCATTATTTGCGCTGACGATTTCCTTCAAGTGCAACAATTGTTTGTTTTTCCGCTGAAGCAATTCGTCCATTTGAGACATTAGAAATATGCCCTCTGGAAAAAGTAGTTCAATTAGAAATGGTTGATATTATGCAAACACGCAACATTACCTTTTAATTGTGTGAAACATTTCTCAAACTGCAACTTGAAGTAGGTCAGTTTTATTTTAAACAGTGATTTATTTTTTTATGAGATACAATATTATTTCGTTCTCGCGGAACCCAAAATAAATTTTCTAATGGAAAACTTGATCATAATTATTCTTCTGTATCACTGTCAATTCGCGTATCAGTTTTCAGCCACAATTTTGTGTCAGTTCAACAGATCTATTTAATCCATAGACTATAATATGACCCGCCTCACATGTATTTGGTGAAATGAAGCGGTCACTCTCTCTATTTAACGAAATTCAAAGTGTGGTCATGTTTTCTTCTATTTGAAGACCTGAACCTCTCTGGTGGAGCACGTAATGAATGGAGTTCCCAAAGGATTCGCTGGGCTGGTTGGGTAATAGAAATGCATAGTGCATCCGAGATGGAACCATTCCTTTGGAAAATGTAGTTACGTAATGCTCAATGAACGCATTCGACATTCTGACGACACAATCTATGAGATCTCTTTACATGGGCTTTCGGAGTAGATAGCTGCATCTCTATACAATTGAAAACTACTTGTATTCATTACAAAACCCATTCGGACTCGAACCCATGCATGCATCGCTGCGTATAGCTCAGTAGTTTTAATAAAGGTACAATAACGTAGATCGCAAAATTGTCTTACTCGTTAATTACATGTGTGTATATCGAGTGATTTTCTCGAGTTAAGATTATTCTCCGTACTGATTATAATTCCCTATACAAAAAGTTTCATAGCACAGGTTATCCGCATTATTACGAATCTTCTTTTTCTTGTCTGTATAGAAGTTTATTTTATATTTGTGATTGTGTTTCCCGCTTAACTTTAGGCTAATTATTTGCTACTTCATTGGCTACTCCATTAATGGAGTATAACTGAACATCGGCACTTCAGCAAGGCACTTTTGCTATTGCAGCAAGAGCTGAGTGATGTCCTTCCACAGAATCAGCAGCAGCAGTGGTACCATGCAGTGAAGACCATCTTGCCTGTCCCCATTTATAATAAAATACGTATGTGTTTATTGTAAGCCATTTACCCGTATTTTCTCATTGTATAATTTTGTATGTGTACTTTGGCGTGGAATAAATTGTTTGAATTTGAACTAGCTGAGGTGCGTTTATAGTCGTTAGTTAGGTTCATGTGTCGTTATTTAAACGTTTAAATAAAGACACATGATAGACAAAATCTATGGCTTAATAGTCGTTGGTGTAAAGTAAATCTAAGAGTTTTAAAACAAATTGCATTATTTAATTGAAAGTAAACTTAAATGGATACCTTCACATTCCTGGCTTGTTCTTGTCTGAAGCAACAATGCATTTTCCAAATTTCGTTTCATTTTCTTGTCATTTTTCTTATGAGCACCAGATCTTGCGGTCTAGAATATAAAGCTTTTTGATTTTTTTTTTTGTTAATTTGACCGTGCTATTCGCCAACTCTTCTTGTTAACAGTTGACTATTTTTAAATGCTATATTAAAGACACAGTCGAGAATCAAGTTCATGACTATATGGCTATATGTATATGGAGCCAATTCAGTAACCGTGTTTATTCACCTTTCAGTACTAATTTAAATTAAAACACTTTCAACGGTTTAAATCGCGAAATATATAATATATGTATTAATTATGATATTTACAATTTATTTTAACTGCGGCCCGATTTTTTGTATGCTTCGCAACAGCCATGGTCACAGGGGAACAAAAAAAGAATCCGTAAAGTCGGGTCGTGTTAATATAACTTGTACATAAGTTTACGCTAAATATTTCACGTTTTAGCCCGTTCATTATTTCTTCTGTTGTAGTTTTATTAGTGCCTCGTTTTCATAAAAAACTTTCTATTAAAACTCCTACTCACCTTTAAGTCCGTCCGTAAATTGACATACTCCTTCTTTAGCGTCCTGAGTAGCCGATCTTGCCGTCTGAATTTCGGATGTACTCCCATACAGCGGTTTTGTCTGTCCACTTGAATCATTCGTACCTTTAAATTTCATTTGGGATAATTTCAACACACCTATACTCTTCTCTGGCCACTTGATAGAATTGTAGCTCCAAAAAGTGCCATTGGCGGAAAACACGTGTCAGAATGTAGGTATATTTTCTCTCAATGAAAAATCAGGTTCATATTATATTACTACACATTAGGTATACCTGTCTTTGTAATCGTAAATGTTCGTCCTCCATTTTCTTAACGACATCTATGTCACTGCTTTGTTCCAATAAGATGTCCATTGCAATTATTTTTGTAAATGAACTATCAAATATGTTATTGTATTGACACGTTTGAGCCAGCGTGAATTCAATAGAATTTGACGTCCAAATGTAAGTTTTGGAGAATTATAATACACTGTATAATTTAGAGTTTTTTTTTTAAATCGAACCTTGTATTTTTTATGTAAGGATACCAAAAATGAACACTAACCTTACTTATACGAACGTTTAGAAGCGTGATCGTTGGTGGGCTTCAACAAAGACTTAATTAATAAGTAATTATTACAAAGGGTACTACGATAAATACCTTTAGGTCATTAAAATTAGGGTTACAATAAAAAAAAAACAAAATAACATGTTAAATGCATTAACGGCTTAAAATGCGTAATACAGCGTTTGAAAAGTCAGGCCATAATTAAAATAAACTGAAACAATTTACAACACGGGACATGAACCGGCATTCACAGCATTCCGTGCAGCTGCACTAACCAAACATCCGTGGATATCATAGATTTCTCGTTTTAAGTCGTTTAAGGTGCTTTATTTAAACACCGCTAATATATTAATTTTATATAGCTTTGTGTACTATCGTTCTGATATAAATAAGTACTTACATATATGTCAAACTCGTTCGCTATTCGTAAGAAAAGCAAATCAAAGAAGTGCAAAGAAAAGGTACGATAGATTTGAATCACTATCAATTTGAATGCATTTTAGTATCGCTCTAAGTAGGTGCACTTTACACAAAGCAGGAAACGTCATTAGACTTCAGTGGAATTCCAATAGGACTCCGTTACAATGTAACGTAACGTAACGGAAATTATTCCATATTTAAATAAGATGTAGAAGATGTATTTACTCATAAAAATAAGACATCAAATGTAATGTCTTTCTTATAAGTCTTTGGACTTGAGGCTCCGTTTGACTGTTTACTAGTAATAAATAAGATACGTCGGGCCGGGTTAAAAATAATTTTCAGATAAGTTTAACTAATATATATCGCATTTTAACCCGTTAAAGTGTTTTTTTTTAAATACATAAGATTGCAATTTGTCATGAAACAAGTCAACAAAAAGTCAATATAAGGCAAATTTGTTAAATTAAAACCTCAAATACCCCTTATTGTCTTCTAACAACTCTTAAAATAATCTAGGCAAAACCTAGAGCCAATTGGAGTAAAGTATTATCTTTAAAACGTTACCGTTTTGTAAAATAAAAATTCTCACAATACTTAAATTCCTACAATTACCCGCTAACCTAATTCCGTATCAAGTTGTATAATTACGGAATAAAACACACCGCCGATTTGAAGGATAATTGCAGCTTTTCATGTTAAATGAAATTTACACAGCTCATTATGTATTACGTACAGTTTGTAAAAGAAAATTGCGTTTATTTTAAGCAATTAGTGCTGAGTACGTCAAAACGACTGTTGGCTACTGTCTAAAGGACTACTACTTTACTACCATTGTATAAAATCTACTATAACCGACTTCATGTTCTTGTGTACAATATACAAATGTCGAAGTTTAGTTATTAAAAACAATAGCCGTTATACGTAATTTTCTATTAAAAAACAGATTTAATTCGAATGTAGGGTAAAGTTAAGATATATAGTTTTTTACAAGGCTAATTGAATAGGGCTTCTATAGCATATAATAAAGAGGAAAATAATATTACGGATCGGTGCAACAGGCGCCGAGGAGCTTTTTATTTTCAATTCCTTCGATTTTTTCCCACGATTCCTTTGAACAAGTTGTGTCGCAACAAAATTTATTTTGCTTTGTATTATAGAACTTAAAGTGAATTTGTTTGTGGAGTTAAAAATAGTTATTTCTCTGCATATTTTATTTAGGTTCTCATAGTATATTTTAATACATTTGCCTCCTACATTCTATTCAAATGCGTTCGATGTTATGAGAGTTGTAACTACTAAAATAGACAAATATTAACTCGATTACCATTTTGTAAAGCCAGTTGGTCGGTTCTTCGTTTGGTCGAGTAACGCTCAACAACCGCGACGTGGACGCCATCCATTTCGAAACATCGCGAACTGAGTAACCTAAGTAGCTTAAATTGATTATGATTGTGGACTTCTTTGTCATTATCATCAGCCGTTGTCATAGTTCAAATTGTTAGGAATAGGCTTCTTATGCACCTATATATTTTTCTTTACAAATCTCCGGTTCAAATCACGACCGTGTCTGTCTTAACGAATACAATAGTTAATATTTGAAAGGGTTACGAGTGTGGTCAAATTCATTCATTGGTTATTGCACACTATTAAAGAGTTATAAAACTCAATTTAAATATATGGCTCCACTGTTTGAGTTGGCAGAATTGTCCAAGTTGGTGTCGTTCGGTGTAAGTTGGGGACTGACATTAAGATAACGGAGAAGCGGGTGCTGGACGCTTTGTTTTGTAAGAATATTCTTTTGAACCGTTGATCTATACTCTTTTCACTACTTTTTTATTTATAACATGTCTCAGCGCATAATTTAGTCAATAGCCAAAATTATTCAAAGATTTGACTTTTCTTTTATAATGGTCGAAACAAAAATAATGAAAATTACAAAAAACAGATATGTAACTCCTCCTATTCCACCAATAAAATTCCTTAAGCTATTTATCATATTAATAAATAATTTTGAATTATTAATTTCTAACAGATTTATCGTAATCCGAACACGATTATAAAAACACATTCGGATCGAAAAGTCAGACTAAGTTCTTTTGGAGAAGGATCTGTAAAATTTAATAAAGTATTACTAATTTTAATAAATATATTATTATTTTTATAAATTGCTTAATTAATTAAGAATTTTCTAAGACTAGATATAAATTTCAAGGGTATGGGGCAGAAAAAAAAATGTTTTTGTAACTTTTTGCTTAACTCACGCCACAACGCGTTTAGTACTAAAACCTTTAAATATATATTACCTGCCATACGCCAAAGTTCATATGCTTGTTTCCTATGCAACCTTTGAAGTGAGGAAGATTAATCTTAAATTATTCTCTTTGATTACAACTTTAATTTGAATATGATAATGCAGAGTTGCAACTAACAAGTAGTTTCTGTGCGGGAAACTAGTAGTTTGCAATGGACTTACTTGTATATTTTAAGACGACGTCTGAATTGAAACAGGTTATTTCATATATATAACCTGGGACAGCGCATATATAAATGGCTTAAATATCAAATTATACTTTTAACTATTGCGTTATACGAATATTAAGTCGTAATATGCAAATGTGTACAGGCTTATGTTATATTGTTTGTTAATTTGTCTGTGTGCTCATTACGGCTATCCTTTAAAACGGGATATTGGGACCATCAAAATAGGAATACACAAAAATCAATGTTCAATAGACGGCAGCTAGTAGATAAAATCCGGGCACTCTAAAAAGGTAAGCGTAGTGTAGCATTGTTATTTTTCTTGCTTCGAAATAAATATGAAATCTCTACGCGTCAAGTTTTTGTTCAATATTTTACTCTATGCCAAAAAAGTTCATGAAATACGTGCTCGCTGAAAACAATCTCGGCTAGAAATGCTTTTGTAGCGTTCGCAAAAAAACACACACGACCATTGTTTCGTTTTGATGTTAGCGTGACCGCGTCTCGGTTTAGTAAGTTGTACGGTCCGAAAAACAGTTCGCTATAATACGAGAATATACTTAAGTCGTGTATTAAGAAGTTAATTCGATAAAATACTTTAGGTTTAGTGACAACTGTAAGAACTAGCAGAGGGGTCTTATTTAAATACAAATAACAATACACCAACGATAACACTAGAATGTAATAATAACGAAGTTCTAAAATAATTATTTCAATTGCCTGATTTGCGTGTCTTATGAAATATAGTTTCAAATAGATTTTTATGCTAACCATCCTTGTTTTCGCCTCATAAGTTTGACGGATGTTTATTTTATATTATTTATGGTTGCAAAAACGCGCTAATAACACTTTTAAGCAAGCTATAACCTACATTGAGCTTTTTTAAGGAGCCTATTTATTATTTTTCTTGAAATAATAAAGTCAATTGCTAAAAAACTTTCGGAGAGTCAAAATAAATGGAGCATATAAAATTTAACTACAAAGAGGAAAATCACTACGATTAAGAATGTATAGCACTTGTTTGTTAAAAAGAACTTAAGAAGAATACGATAAGAATTTTCATTTTTTATTTAATAAAAAATAAAATAAACATATTATTTTAGTCCTGGAGAAGCGTAAAGATATAATTGAATGCCACTCAGAATTATTATTTTTTTATTTTTTTTTATTATTGCTTTATTAAATTTTAGTCAACTTAAGAAAATATTTTTTCACGAAAGTTAAAGTTACATTCTTTAACTTACAATATATATTATTTTAAACAAACTTTTTAGTGTTCTTGTAATGTCCTCTTTTATCTGTGCGTATCTGTATCATAGATTAAAAATGCAATGTTGCGTTTTAAAAAGCGGGAATACAATAGTTGGGCTTGTTTTTAAAGTTGCAACAAATAAAGTCGAAATGTAGGCAATACAAAGTGCGATGCAGCCTGCCAGCCTAATTCATCACGTCGATTGGCGGTAACTTTTCGTCACCGGGGGAGGGCTGTGCTCCACGCAGGCGCCACTTCCCGCCATTTTATCGCGTAGAGGTTGCCAGCATCAAATCAGTGCGAATTTTTGGGGAGTCCTGTTTTCTATGTGCGATGTCTGTTAACATTTAATGTGGACCGACATTTTAAAAATATTTTTAATGGCCTACTTAATAAACAATAAGATTAATTAAATGCAATTTGTAAAGAATACAAAAGCTTACAGTTGAAGAATTTCTAATAAGACAGTAAATCTGTACCTATTTTTTAAAGAAAACGTGTAAAGTTATAATAAGAACATAATATGTACTTAAGATTCAAATTAGTTCAAAAGCTATATGACTTGGGCGTTTATATATCCATTTCCCCAGACTTAAAAGTTGTCTATTGCTAATTTAACTCAAGTATAATATCTATCAATTACATATTTGTACC